CAGAAGGGCCGCAGTCCCTCAGAGGTTTACTGTGGGCCAGCCCTTGGGGAGTCTGCACTCACTACCTACATATGGTGTCCACCAGTGTCTTTCTTGGGGCCAAAGTTGGGAGGGTCTGAACCTCCACACAGGGGACTATTTTCTCCAACAGCTCTAGTGGGATTTCCTTGCCAGCTGGTTAGCTGGTTACATGTGGAGCCCCGGGCCCTGCCACAATTTCCTGCCAAGCAGGTTAACCTGGGCTCTGAGGCAACTATCACCATGCCACCTGGGACCCCCTATCTACTGGGGGGTGGGGTCTCCCCGATGTTTGTGGGGGCCCAACCCTTGAGGGGTCTGCATTCTCTTCCTACCTATCAAGATACCAATTGTGTATTTCACAGAACTAGAAGAAACAATCCAAAAATTTACACGGAACCAAAAAAGACTCCAAATAGCCTCAGCAATCTTGAGAGAAAAGAACAAAGTTGGAGGAATCATGTTACCTGATAGCAAACTATACTACAATGCCATAGTAATCAAAACAGCATGGCACTGGCATAAAAACAGACAGAAAAATCAATGAAACAGCACAGAGAACCCAGAAATAAACCCATGCATATATGGCCAACTAATATTTGACAAAAGAGACAAGAACATACAATAGGGTAGGGACAGTTTATTCAATAAATGATGTTAGAAAAATTGGATGGATACATGCAAAAAAAAAAAAAAAGAAACTAGACCACCTTCTTATACCATATACAAAAATAATCTTAAAATGGATTAAAAGCTTAAATGTAAAACTGAAAACCATAACACTCTTGAGTAATTTCTCTATGTTTTCTTGGACATTTTTCTTAGTAATATATATTTTTTCCTAATATGCCTCTTCAGTCAAGGAAAACAAAAGAAAAAATAAACAAATGGGACTACATCAAACTAAAAAGTTGTTGTACAGCAAAGGAAACCATCAGAAAATTGAAAGACAACCACTGAATGAGAGAACATATTCACCAATGATACATCTGATAAGGGGTTAACATCCAAAATTTGTGAAGAAATCATACAACAAAACACCAAAAAAAAAGCGCCAAACTAAAACAAACCCAAACAACCCAATTGAAAAATGGGAAAAGGACCTGAATAGATACTTCACCCAAGAGGGCATACAGAAGGTCGATAGACATATGAAAAGATGCTCAGTGGCATTAAGCACCATAGAAATGCAAATTAAACACACAATGAGATATCATCTCTCTGATGAGAGTCAGAATGGCTCTCATCAATAAGTCAACAAACAACAAGCGCTAGTGAGGATGCGGAGAAAAGGGAACCTTCATGCACTGTTGGTGGGAATGCAGACTGGTGCAGCCACTGTGGAAAACTGTGAAGGTTGCTAAAAAGATAAAAATGAAACTGCCTTAGGACTCAGAAATTCCACTTCTGGGCAAGTATCTGAAGAAACCTAAAACACTGATTCAAAAGAATATATGAACCTCCATGTTTATTGCAGCATTATTTACATTAGCCAAGCTATAGAAGCAGTCCACGTGCCCATCAACAGAGGAGGGGATAAAAAAAGCCATGGTGTGTATATACAATGAAATATGATATGATCATAAAAAAGAATAAAATCTTACCATTTGCTATGGCATGGATGGACCTAGAGGGTATTATACTAAGTGAAATAAGTCAGTTAGAGGAAGACAAATATCATGAATTCATTTACATGGGGAATCTAAAAACAATATAAATGAACAAACAAAACAGAAACAGACTCATGGATATAGAGAGCAGACTGACGGTTGCCAAATAGGAGGGGTGCTGTGGGACTGGGTGAAAAAGGTGAAGGGATTGACAAGTGCAGATTGGTAGTTACAGAATAGTCATGGAGAATGTAATCAATAATATTATAATAAATATGAATGGTGCTAGATGGGTACTGAAAATATCAGGGGGACTACTTATAAAGTATATGATTGTCTACCCACTGTGCTGTGTGCACCTGAAAATAGTATTCAGTCAATATTGAATACAAACTGTAATGGAAAAAAATAAAAACAGGAAAAATCCTCACCCATAATAAATGCATTGGTGTGTGGCTGCAGGAATGGTTAACTCAGTACTGAAAGGAGTCAGGGCTCTCTTTCAACTACTCTATGATTCTCAGTCATTTCCTCATTGTCACAAGAAGGCTGCTGCAGCCCCAAACATCACATCCTCACATGATAATGTCCAAAGGCGGGAAGAAATGGCATTTCCTTTCCTGAGCTTCTTTTCCTAAGGGATAAAAATCTGTTCCACAGGCTTCTCAGAAGATTTTGCCTTTGATCCTAGTGAATAAATTGGGACCCAGAACTGCAAAGGGGGCTGGGAGCATGAGTGTTCATCGAGGGAGGCTGACTTTGCCATGATAGCCATTGTGTACAGAGCCAGCAGGGTCAGCCACAGCCAATCTGGGGTCTTCCTTAGGGACAACAGAGACAGCTTACCTGTGCAGAATAAGGATTAAAATAGGGCGGGCCCACATCCCACACTCCTGCAGGAAGTTAGCTGAACCCCCTCTTCTCCCACAGGTCAGAGGGCACCCAGCTCCCAGCCTCGCTAGGAGCCACCTGAGAGCCAGAAGACAAGAGCAGTAAACCTGAGGATGGTGGAACCAGAGGACCAGACCCCCGTCCAGAGGGGGCTTGGCAGTCGGACAGCAGCTCTGGGAGCAGAGCCCTGGATGAAGGGTTGTTTCCACAAACTCAGGCCTATTGCCAGGCTCACCGTCAGTGGGCAGTGCCCTCAGCCTTGCTCCCAGGGTCCCGACTGCCCTGATGCTGCCATCTGATCTCCAAACAGAACTCGCTCCCCCACCTGCTGAGGCTGGGCTTCCTGAGCTCACAGGTGCCTTTTCCCCAGGCCTGAGAGCACAGACACCCAGTGGGGCTGTGGTGGAGGCGGTGTCCTGGGACACAGGTCCTGGATCAGGACACTGGATCTCAGCCAAGTTGTGTGCCCCCTGCACAGATGAGTAAACCAAGACTTGAAAGGAAGTGTGATTTCTTTTGATTTAGATTTAATGGAGAATATTTTGGTTGCAAGTGAAAGGATCTATCTCAGGTTATCTGGAGTGAAAAGCAGGAATTAATTAGAACATGGAGCTGGGAAGAACAGTTTCAGAAAACCAGCTCATGTGAGCTGCAGGCTCAGCTTGATCCAGAGCAGGGGGACTGGAAATCCGTCTCCCATTAGTTCCACACAATGATGGGTTAGGGCCCAGTGACCCGGGATGGAATAAACCCCTCATTGTCAGAGGTGTATGAACAAGAGCTGGATGGTCATTCCTAAAGAAGATCATAAAGAGGACTTGACCTCCATGACTGAGATGCCAGGTCCTAAAATGGTATAATGCCCATCTCTGAGGATGCAGACAGGCCTTGGCTTGTTGTGTCATCTTAGAAAGCAGAGAAGAGAAAGAGGGTCTCCCTCCCTCAGGGTCCCCGTGGAAAACCCAAGAAGGGGCTCTGATTGGCTAGCTCCACTCCTGGGCCAGGAATGGGAAAAGGAGCCCCTGGCCTTGGGGTCCCATCCCTGGGCATGGGGAGGGGAGAGAGGTTGTGTGGGAGAGGGCAAAGTGGTACCAGGAGCTGAAATTAGTTATTTTAATGGAATCTCTTCTTCTCTGTCCTCCTATGTATTCATCTTGAATTGTAGTAGAATGTATTTTTAATGTCTTATTTTTTAAAACTAACTTTCACACTTATTGTTCTTTCTTTTCCTCGAAACCCCTGTGGCAGTTTTCTGGGTTCACAGTTCTTCCTGATGTACATTCTTTACTGGTTTTCTCGACAAAGCCCTAGGGGTGGTCTGCTTTGAGATCGTCTGTATGTACGTAAAAATGTCTTTATATCTTTCTTTGACAAATCGCATAGCTAGGAGTTTAGTTTCTTAGTAATTATTTTTCCTTATTATTTAATATTTCTTAGCCTCCCTCTCTTTATGGGAATAAAGTGGGAATAAGCCCTAAGGTTAGTGAGTGTAACTGGGACAATGCGGTCGGAGCTGGTCAGTCATGTTGCTTAGCAGATGTGAAGTTGTCATAATGATAGTTATTATAATCTCCAGAAAGTACGTTCTCAGAGAATGACTGCTTAAGACTGAGGAGCAGAAGTTCACACCAAAAAAAAAAAAATGGAATGGTTGGCATCACAGGGACTTCAATTTTTAGCCCTTGGGTATCTTCAGCTTGTGGCCACCTGCAGAATGTGCTGAGGTCATATAGCCCATTTCTGCAAACCCAGCTCAGGACGGCACCGCTGGCCTCGTGCCTGCAATGCTTTGCGCTGCTTAGTGGGGAGCTTCTGCTATAGTGGTCCAGTTGCTTTCTGTGCAGAGAAATGTTAAAAAAGACTCATCCTCTCATATTTCCCCCCTGAGTTTTATTCATTGGTACATCCAAAGCAGACACTACTTTCTAGAGCCTGGATTCTGGTCACTTCAGCTCCCAAGTCCTAGGGCTGAATGCAGAGTCATTTCTAATCCATTCCCTCCATTCCAGCCTGTTTTCTGTCTTGGAGAACCATGAGCCAAGAGGTGTCACGGAGGCAGGGTCATCTGGAAGTCCCGGCGAATGTGAACTTCAGGGAAGGAAGTACTGTCAGGGAGCCTGAGACTGCCAGGGCTTTGGGGGCGGGGAAGACGGAGGAACCGAGGTAGGCGTGGTGGCTGACACACATCAGGGGAGGCGTGTTCCAAAGTTTCCCGAGAAGGGGAACCTCAAGGTGAAGAGGGTGCGATGTCAGACCATGGCAGTTTCTGCTTCGGTGTTCTCGGGGGTCCAGTGATATGAAAGCGCAAGACAGATTTTGCAGTAGCCCTCAGGACTTGAGGAAGGGGAAGGATTTTATCTTAGCTTCTTGTGAATCAGATGGGGGCCGTGTTACGAAGGGCCCGGAGACTGTGATGGACCAGCGTGGCTGATTTCTGTTCCAGCCAAGCTCCTCTGGACCCTGGGCCTCGGGCAGATCTCATCACTGCAGCGTCCTTGGATCTGGGTGGGGCAGGTTCCAGGCATCCTTGCCGAATCTCAGAATCTCCCTCCTTCTTTGCCGGCACATGGTGACCTGTGGAGGTGAGGAGGGGACCTCAGAATGGACTGCTCACATGCCCAAGTGTGGGAGACTGGCCAAAGCCACAGAGACCAGAAGCGTCCCTCTCCTTTTTTAATTTAATTTTCTCCCTCGGTCCTCTTTTCGTCTTTCCTTTTTTTCCTCTTTTATTGCTTTCTTTCTCTCCCCCTTTTCGCTCTCATTTGTTCTACCGTTTGCCCTCTACTAACCATTTCTATCGCCCCCTCCCTCCCCGCCTCCCTTCCTCACTTCTTCCTTCCCTGTCCCCACGCTGTAGCTTAAGTGGGGTATGACCGACATACAGTAAACTGCATGTATTTAAAGTGAACGACTCATTGTCTCCCGAAGTGTTTTCATGCCCCTTCTGTAATTCCTTCTTACCTGCCATGGGCAGACACGTTCTTACTCTCAGGCAGCCGCCGCAGTGGTTTCTGTCCCTACTGATTAGCTAGTATTTTGTAAAATTTGTGTACAGATGGCATCATACAGTCTCTTCCTTACCTAGCTACTTTCACTCAGCATAGGTATTGTGACATATACACATGCCATTGTGTATGTTAGTAATTCTTTCTTTTTTATTGCTGAAAAACACCGCATTGTGGGGTTATGTCATGGCTTGTGCATCCATCCACCTGCTGGTGGGCGTCTTGGCTGTTTTCCGTTTGGGGCTGGTACAAACAAACCTCGTCTGGACATTTGTGTGGAAGCATCCACAGATGTGCGTTTTTATTTCCCTTGCATAAGTTCCTAGGGGCGAAATGGCATGGTAGGTTTTCTCTTGCACTCCCTGAGAGTTACGGCTGCTTCACATACTCACCAACATCCGTCATATTCATTCTTTATAATATTTTAGCCATTCTCCTATGTGGTGGTAGCTCTACCCTAAGACGGACTTGTGACGTCAGTCCCAGGTCCCTAATGGTTAATGCTGTTAGGGAAAGAAACCAGCAGGCCACACACAGACCAGCAAAAACACTTGCAAACGTGTGTCCATCAGGGGACTTGTATTTATAACACGGCCACGAGCCCCACAACAGCAAGGCTGTGTTCTGAGAAATGTGTCGTTGGGGGACTGCCTGCGGAGCATGTCACAGCACAAAACGACACATGATGAAACCAAGCACAGGAGAGAACAATGCTACCAGGTGACCTAGTAAGTCAGCGTGAGATGTGTGAGGCTGCTGCCCACATAACACGAGATGCTGTTTTCCAGCTACAAAGCGTGCACTCTAAAATGATAAGAAAAGTGGTATAGTAAGTGCCTAGCCATTGTTTATTTTAGTTGTTAAGTACTATGTACTACACACAATTTATACTTTGATCCAAGTGGACATGCGGTAGGTTTGTTTATACCAGCATCAGCACGAACACGTCAGTAATCTGCTTTGCCACGAGGTGGCAGGGAGTTTTCAGTTCCATCGTAATCGTATGTGAACACCGTCATGTATGTGGCCCATCACTGACACAAATATTGTTACGTGATGCAGGACTGTCTATAAAAAATGCTCACTACCCAATGGCAAGAAGACAAGCATTACTTCCTCACTTACCAGGAAACAGCAGATCAGGCACGTGATGAGCGCCAAGAGTCCCACCAGGCAGGTCAGGATGATGGCCCAGAAGGGGACGTCTGGGGAGACAAGTGCCGGGCTGAGCCGCCTCCTCGCATTCCCGCAGGGACCTTGCTCCCGCGCTGTGCCTCAGCAGTGCTTGACATGGGCTGGCCAACGGTTGTTATCATGCAAGTTCTCGTGTACAGAGTTCTTATGGATGAGGCACAGCATCAAGATATTCCCTCCCACCTCAGGGCTGCTGGGAGGCTTACCTGAATTCTTAGTCAGGGCGTCATGTCTGCTTGGAGCATACCCTGGCAGGGAATAAAGTGGAGCACGCATGTGAGTGTTAATAAAACCCCTCAAACACGGAGAAAAATAGAACAATATCATAAGCATCCATCACCTAGTTTTAGCAATGTATATTTCATACAATTAAAACAATATTTCATCCAGTGCACGAATTAGTAACACTTGCCACTCTTTCTCATCTCATGTTTTCACTGAGATAACAAAACAGACATCATGATGTTTCACTCCATTTCAGTTTGCATCTCTAAAAAATGAGGATGCTTTGCTGCATAACCCAAGGCCATTAGCACACCACAAGAGTGTGTCAAATTAAATCAGATTCCTACCTCTGGGCAGGTGGACTTAAAGTCGGCTGGATCTTCTTAGGATCCTCAGGGGAGGATGGCTCATCCCAGGCAGCAAAGGGGCAAGCACATGGGATCTCTCTAAATAGGTAAATCCCCACTCACAACCTCTCTTCTCTGCTTAGAAACACATTCACCCCATTCTTCTTTATCCAGTTGTTTTATGCTCATTTTCCAGGATTCACCTATAATATAATTTCCTCCAGGAAGACTTCCCTGATTACCACTTCTCTGATTACCAGGTATGGACTGGTTTACATCACTGACAATTGCCTATTCTTTTCAACTACACCATAAACTCCATGAGGGTAGGGACACATTGCACCCGTGGCCGTGGGGGGAGGGTTGCAGGTCCCCCACTTCTACAGTTTCTCCCTACCCGACTTCTTAAGATGTACGGTCCAATATGGAGCTGTCACGAAGGGCTACTTAAATCACATTTAATTTTAATTAAATGAAATTAAAAATCTGGTACCTCATAACATAATCAGTAACAATAAAAACAAGTCGTGTTAGCCACATGTCAGACGCCCAATCGCTCTGGGCGGCTAATGTCCTGGACGGCACAAGTAGAGAACGTTACCATCGCTGCAGGAAGTTCTATTCAGTGGTGATGAGCTACAGCAGTGCTAGGCAGACTACAGCCTGTGGGCCCAGTCAGGCCCACTGCCTGTTTCTGTACAGCCTGTGAACCAGAAAGTGGATCCATCCCATCACACCCGTCAAGGCTGCTTCACCCATAGTTTGCTGCTGAAAGCCCTCACTCACCGTTGGTCAACTGATAAGGAGATGGAAGCCCAGAGTGGGAAAAGGGCTAGGCTGGGGCACGGGGCGAAGTGAAGGCAAACGCCTCCTATATCCCACTGGGTGTCCTTTCCTCTCCCTCAGCAGTGTGCAAAGCCAGGGGGACTGTAGCACTGCCTGCCAGCCTGAGAGAGTTCGATGCTGACTCATCCCCAGCCCTCCAGATCCCCAGAAACATACCCAGGTGTGGAAGTTAGACCCCCCCACTCCTGTCTCAATAACCAGGGAGTCTTACCATCCACTAGGACACTGCTCCTGTCCAGGGTGAAGTTCTGCAGCTGGGTACCATTCTGGGTCAACTGGAGAAATTCCTCATAGATGGCGACTCTGTCCATGACCTGTGCCGACAGTGAGACGTGACACAGGGAGTCCACCCCAGTGTGGTTGCTGTGCGGGACAGACCTGGAAGTGCAGAGGGGCAAACGGGGGTCTGGAATCCTGTCCCTGACGCTGGGTTCCCTGTCCTGAGCCTGCCAGAGAGAACTTCCTGCAGTGATGTAAACGTCTGTGCCTGCCTGTCCAATCTAGTCGTTAGTAGCCACAAGTTGTTACCGTGAAAATGCAACTGGTGTGTGTGAGCGAAGAACTCAATATTTCATGCCATGTAATTTGTAAATAAAGAGCCTCAGGGAGAACATTTTTGAAATGGAGTGAGGACTTCTGAAAACCCATAAAAACACAGTAGAGATGGTTGAAATCAACTTTTCAAAAGCCAGAAATGAACCAAAGGCTTGTAACTATTTGAGGAGCGTTTTGTTAAGAAAAACAGCTGAATCATGATAGAGAGAAGAAGCACTGTGGCACCATGACTTATCACATTCTTCCCCTTCTGCTCTCACAACGTCCTCAGTAATTTGAAATACATCTGTCTTAGAACCACGGTAACTGGGAAAACCAGCAGCCAAGGGGCCATAGTGGGTTTGGAGTTTCCCCAAAAGGTGCATCCCAATTTGTTTCCACTTGACCAGGAGTCTGGCAACTCCTGGAGATACCCCCATTCTCAGGGCTTCTCTTTATTTGACTCAGAGCTTGCTCAGCAAGGAAAGCCTATCCCCAGGGAACTTGCTAAAAACAATCAGTGGTGACTGTGTTTGCATTGTAGCTGCATGAGGGAGCAATATCAGTTGAGTCAGGCAAGAGGTGAATCAAAAGCTGAAAAGACACGTTGGGGGAATGAGATGTTCACCAGGCTTTGCAAATCTCCAGGGCACCGGAGGGCACCCAGAGGGCCACAAGAATGCAGGTCTGTGTGCATGTCCAGGAAAGACCCGAAAAAGTCTCAATCACTCCTCTCTACCTGAAAAGTTGGCTTAATATATTTAAAAATTGGTTAATGTAATCCACCATAGTAACAGAATAAAGTACAAGCACCACATTATCTTAATTCATACACACAAAAGAATCTCACAAGATAGGTCTCTTATGATTAAAAAAAACTGCTGAACAACTCGGAGATTTTAAGAAGAAATCTCTCAACCTGATAAACAGTCCCCAAGAAAAACCCGCACCCAATGCTGCAGTCAACGGTTAAAAAAAACAGAAAAGTTTTCCCCAAGGCCAGGAACAAGACAATGCTGTCTGCCCTCATCTCATATGTTAATCATATTGTGTTAGACATTTTAATGAGAACAAGTAGGCAAGAAAAAGAAATTTGAAAAGGCACCCAGATTGGAAAAGAAGATGTAAAACTGTTGACTTTTGCAGATGATATGATACTGTATGTGGAAAATTCTGAGCACACACACACACAAAAAAACACAAGCACACAATATGTGAGTGATATCTCAACAGGTGTATGAAAATTTAAACTGCCACAGGGGGTTACTGACATTGTCTAATCACATTGTCCACAGCACTGGACAACATGAGTAGACTGCTGGATTCTAAGTCATTTCATGATAGCTCTCATCTTCCAAGGATTGTGGATTCAGGAGCTGATCACTTTCTCTCTTTTCAAAAGATTTTATTTATTTATTCTTAGACAGAGGGGAAGGGTGGGAGAAAGAGAGGGAGAGAAACATCAGTGTGTGGTTAGCTGTCATGCACCCCCTACTGGGGACCTGGCCCACAACCCAGGCTTGTGCCTTGACTGAGAATTGAACCAGTGACACTTGATTTATAGGCTGGCACTCAATCCACTGAGCTACACCAGCAAGGGCTCAGGATGTGTTTGCTTAAGACATGTATTCTACAGTCCATATCCCATGGACTCCAAAACCAGGCACCTCCATCTATGCTGAGGTTTTTATATTCCTAGGGTGCTCTTGTGTAACAGCTAGGAACTGAAAGGTTGTAGCATAGGGATACTGTTACCTAAAAACGACGGTGTATCCTTTATGTAAAAAAGAAGCTTACAGATTTTAGAACTCACCTGAACGCTAAAACTTGACAGTCGGAAAAATAACTTTTGATGCTGCTGTTTTGGAAGAGATGGTTGAGCTGAAAGACAAGATAATGTTTCTTTCATCAAAATCCCAACCTGGGAGGTCTCAGAGAATGTTCAGCTACTGAGCAAACTTTTTTCTTGGCTTGACAAAGACTAGTGCAGGTATGTGTACCAAAAAAAAAAAAAAAAGGCCTTGTTCCAGTGTATGACCCTGGCACAGCTAGTGAACCTGTCTGTGCCTCTTTCTTCATCTGTAAAAAGGGAGTAGGAACCTGTATTCATGAAGTGTTATGAAAGTTACCAACTGACTACCTAGCAACCATACATCTGTTCCTACTTGGGAACAGAGTAGACACAACTCCATTCTCACCGCGTTCTCCACACTTCTCTTGCTCCGCTGGTGTTTGGTGGTGCCTGGCTGGGCTATATCCTGGACATACAGTAGGTTGGTGACGGTGAAATTCAGCTGGAAGTGCTGAGAGCTGGGACTGCTGGTTGGTTTGTCTGTCGGCAGATGAACTGATGTCTCCACTTCTAGAGTAAAAAGAAAGTATAAAATTCCCATATTGTCCAAGGTTTTAGTAAGAGGTTATTCAAGCCAGTCTACTTATTTCTGGTAACATGACCTGAAGTGGGTTTTTATAGGTGGGCTATAGAAGACCCTCCATCCACCTGCCCACCTTGAATCTATTCATTTGTCTACCTCTCCAACCGCCTTTCCATCAGGAATGTGAGAGTTGACTAGGACGTTTGGGGGCGGAGACCGGGCCTCCCTGAGGCATAGTTGGCAAGTGCAGGTGCTGACCACCCCACTAGGCATGTCGCACACCTTTGCTGACCTAGGTTCCTAACGTGTCTTGCTGCCTCTGGTCCTCTTTCCCCTCCCAATCCATTCTCCATGCAGCACCCAGAGACAAGCTTTTCAAAGCAGAGCTCAGAGTGTGCTGTGTTCTTCCACAAACCATTCCAGTGCCCAAGAAAGTCCCTGACCACCTCTTTAGCCTCAGCTGTCACCTTTCCCATGTCAAAGTGCATGCACCAGCCACGACACACTTCTTACAGTTTCTGCAAATATACCACGCTCTTCATATCTTCTAGGTTAAAGACACATGCAGCCCAATCATCTATCTCTTTCCATAGGCTGGGTCCTGTTCTCCACCACACCTTAGTTTCTTTATCACTTCCTCTTGAAAACATTCTAAGACAAGGATGTGTGTCCCTCCTTGTGGTTCCTACAGGCTCTTGAAATCCCCTTATAGGAATTTCCACAGTGTATCATTAGTACCTATTTACTTGTATTGAATATCAGTTCAATGAATGAGTGAATGACTCACAAATAGAGAACCTAAAAAGACACCTCAGGATCCTCCACGTTTGGAGTTGGAAAAACAAGGATTCCTTTGAAGGCAGTTGCTGCATGTTCTCTCCTGCCTCCTGCTGGATGACCCGCTGCCATGAACACTCCCCCACCAGAGCCTACTTCCATTCCGCTGCTGCTGAAAAGACCCATCCCTCCTCCAAGCCCCATCTCTGCATGAAACCAGCCTCGCATCTTGCACCTGTCACTTGAATATCCGCCAAATGATAGGTGGCGCCCAACCAGTGGGATGAAGCATTGAGGGTCCTGTCCAGAAAGACTTGCTTCACCACGCTGGGGTCTACACTGGAGGAGAACAGTTCCCGGATGGTGACGGACATGGAGCCCAACCTAGAGTCAGAGATTGTGGGGACTCAGCCAGCATCCAACACTGGCAGTGCCCCCGAGTTCCTGCTTCACAAGAGTCAAAGACTTAAGGGCAAAGACAGTGGGGGATCACCTGCCTGCCTTTTCCCTTGGGATAGAGAAGAGACCTTGATCCAGGAGGGAAGGTTTTTAGGAGTTGAGGAGGTACTAGTGATGAACATCTACTGGGCACCCCTAAGCAGTAACTTACACATTCCCCCGCCATCGCTGTGGTAGAAGGTATTATTATAACTATTCCCATGTGAAACACCAAGAAACTGAAGTTTGGAAATATTCAAAGTTCAACATTCAGCTTCAGTACTCAAAACAATGTGTCCCATGATCCTCCTCTCCAGTGTAGATGTCCTAGTTCCTTGATCTGTCCCTCACAGACCTGGGGGACAACCCAGCTTGGACAGTTGTTCACTTTGCGGAGCCTCAGTTTTCCCACCTGAACAATGGGGGCAATCATTGTATCCACCCACGGGTGGAGGATTAAATGAGTTGATCATGCATGACAGTGCTCAGCATGGAGCCAGGCCATAATAAATCTTATTATTGGGCTGATAATAGTTGAAAGTGTCCAGAAGGGGAGAAAGTGGTGGATGCTGAGGGTTGGTGGCCCCATGAGGCTAATCCTTTTCCCACCTATGGAAGAGGATGGTAGGATTAGCTGACAGGGATGTGGGGAGAATGGCACCATGTCAGTACTTTCAGATCAGAGATGTGCCACAGGCTACCAGCTCAGCCAATGCTTCGAATCTTCTCAACTTACTTCAAGTCAGTAACTAAGCAGGAGTGGAATGCATCTTGTAACTGGCTGCCTCTGTAAAGTTTGGTGACCTAGAATAAAGGGGAGAGGGAGTGGGTGAGACAGGGTGGAGACAGCCACTGGAGCCAGTGAAAGAACACAGGCCTTAGACCATGGGAGGCCTGACTTTGCTCCCAACTCAGTGTGACTTTAGGCACACAGCTCCCCCTTCTGAGCCTCACTCTGCCCATCTGGGAAATGGGGAAGGCAGCCATGGCTCTGCCTCTGGAAACTAAGAGAACTCAGAATCTAATTTGAGTAAACTGAAGCATTGACACAATCACTTAGTAGATATAAGTTAGAGGGATGAGAGGGGCACTGGGGCAAGGAGAGATGAAAGGGTTGAGAGAGACACACCTTGTCCTGGATGTCCCTCAGCAGGGTGGTGTACTCGGAGGACATGGGGTCTGGGTTGCTAAGATTCCAGTTGATGATGCGGAAATTTAGCTGGTACTCACTCGGGATAAACGCACTCTGGGGGGCATAGCCTGCGCCATGAAAAAGAAGAAAAGACAGGTGGAGATGCTTGACTTGGAGCACCGAGGCACGGTATCACAGAGAGCCTGACTGGGTTCAGAATCAGCCAATGTCAGGCCACACCCTAGGCCCTGTGGGTGTCCCTAAATGGAAAGTCACCCAAAGAGTGGGGAAAAGTGGGAATTTACAGGGATTCTCCTGAGCTGAGCTTCTATGTTTGAGCTTATGCAGTGACTACTTTGTGGGATGCTTTTTCCACCCTTTTCTCTCCCTGGAAAATCCACCCTTCTATTCATGCTCCAGAAGCCCAAAGATACGGAGTCCAGAAGAGCAGGGAGCCACCCATCTATCTTGTTCTTGTCATGCCCCAGTGCCTAATACAGGTCTGGGCACAAATATATTTTTCAGGAACCTCTCAATTTGTTCCCCATCTCTGATCAGAGATGCAACTGGTTACATGGTGTTGCTGCAATTTTTGTGTCCCTAAGTAACCATTAGTTCACTTGACTATGAGTTTTCAGGGACAGAAGTTTGACTTTTACCCCATATCCATCCAGATCATGGTTTGGGACAGAATTCTCACACATATGCATTTGCTGTGAATGAACGGGAACTGCAGCAGATGATGACAGATGAGGGGCTGAGACTCTCATCTTTTTGTTTGTTCCCTCATTCATTCACCCGTTGAGTACTACAGTGCGCCAACATGTGAATAACTGAGGATTCGGTGCCTCAGTAGGAAAACCTGATTTTGCAGAGTTGGATAATTAAGCAAGTAATGGCAGTCAAGTGTGGTGAGTGTTCGTGTGGTGCCTCCCTAGGGACTCTGGACCATGTATAACAGGCTTCCTCATCTTCAGAACTACTGCCTTTGGGACTATAGAATTCTTGGTGGTGGGGTTCTCCTGTGTATTGAAGGATATCAGCAACATCCCAGCCTCTGTCTACTAGATGCCAATAGCCCTGTCTCCCAGAAGAGACAATTAAAAATGCCTCCAACATTGCCCAGTACCTATGGTGGCGGGGGGCAGAACTGCCCCTGGGTGAGAACAACTGCAATAGAGGGGCCTCAACTTAGAAGAAGCCCTGGCCCAAGAGTAAGGTGTCTGTAATTCTGGTTTTGAATTAAAATTCATTACATTAATTTGGTTTAAAATTTTCATGTTGCCTGGAATAATAGGAAAGACCCTCCCCACAGATGCTGGGGAGGTATCTCCCAGATAGAACTTGGACTGATTTTCTTAAAGGAATAAAGCAAAGATATGTAACAATCACTGTAAATCCGAGTTCAACATAAAAACTCACCATTGACAAAGAGGCTGCCTGGGACCAGGGTGTAGGGGCCCAGTTGGGTGACTCTGTGGGTCAGCTGGCTGAGCTCCCAGTACAGCCGATCTCTGTCGAGCCCGTGGTCCAAGGGGTTAGGGGGGTAGGTGCAGATGGCATCCACGCTGGTGGCTGCCCCACCCTTCTCAGGCCTGGGGAGAGAGGGATGTGGGGACTCTAGAGAGAGAGATTCTGAAAACTCTGAGTGTGGGGGCTAGAAAGATGGAGAAGCAAATGGGAGATCAGTGGGAAGACCGAAAAGGGGATGGTCACCAAAAGTGGCCATTACTGGCAAATGCTCAGGAAAGAGTCTTACCTGAGGGAGATCAGTCTGCAATCCACACAGCAGGGGCCCAGACTGCTCTTCTTGAACAAGGATCTGAGCTGGAGAGAAAGGAGCAGGAAGAGGAGCAAGAGGATGATGGGCTGGGTGAGCTTTATCACCCATCAGGAGCTGCCGGGCCCAGGGTCTCACCAGGTGCTGCAGGACCCTCTCAGTGGAGTTGAATGTGGACGAACCGTTGCTCATGTCTGCTGAGTACTGGAGGTTGGAGATGGTGAAGTTGAGCGTGAGGGTCTCCAGGTTGCCCAACAGAGCTGCAAGAAGGGGAGGGGAGTGATGGCAGTCACTGAGACCTGAGTCCCAGTGAGTCCTGCAATCTGATCATCTGTTGTTGTCTCTTCCAGGGCACCACCCACGCCACGCCAATGCGGTCAAGTTCAAATCATTATATCCACTCAGTAATATGAGTATTGCTCACCTCCCCTTCAGGTCACACCAATTCCACATGCAGGATGATCCTCATACATCACCTCTCTCTATCCGTCTCCTAGTCCCATTCTTACCTTCTCTCACCGGGACCAACACCCCAGCAGGCTCAGTGGACACCCTGTCTCAAAGAGGTTCTCTACATTGAATACTAGCAGGAATTTCTGAAACAGAAGTCTCACTATCGTCACCACTTCTCTATATCAGCCCTGATTCTCTGTGGTCTTCCATGTTGGGCTCAAGCTTGTTGACCTTGCACTCAGGCTCCTTCCCAGTCTTGTTCTTGCCAACCTTTCAGTTTCATGTATCCACCTACTCCATATTAAGTTTTATGCTTCAAGCAAACCAAATTCCTCCTAATTCTCTACGCTATGCTGCTTGTGCCCATTGACCCTTTGCTCATGGAATCCCGCCTGCCAGGGGATCCCCTCTTGTGCCCTGTTTGCCTAGAGCTCTCCTACTCTTCTTAAAGGGTCTGTTTGAGTGAAACTTTCACCAGAAAGCTCTTCCCACTCAAATTATGCAGAAGCCTCTTCCCCAAACACCCCCCATTGTGTTATAAGGGTCTGTTAATCCCCCAAGCCTAGGGACAGGAAGGCAGGCATTAAACTGAATTGTTGGTATAATCTTTGGGATCAGGATAATCCCCCTAAAACTAGGAGTTTCACACCCTGCCTTCCCAGTTCCTGTGTGACAGTTGTCTGGTGGAGGATTGGGGCTGGCTAGCTTCTCTTAGGGAGGAAAAGGGACCCCACAAATACCTGTGGTTGCCTCTGGTTGCACAGGGGATGATGAGGTGGGCAGGAATGTGGTGGCTGGCTCAGGAGCTGTGAAAATGGCTGTTATCATGGAGGAACAGACCCCCCCCCCCCCGCTGCAAAAGTGGGTGAAGTCCCATTAGGCTGTCATGGGCTCCAGCAGAGGTTGTCCCAGGAAAACCACTCACAGGTGTACCATAAATGAGAATGAGCAAAGGAGTGATTGTGTGAGCAGTGGGGTGAGCAAACCTGTGAATAAAATGAAGTCAAGAGAGTAAGAGTGGGAAAATAAGAGAGAGATTGAACAAAGAAGACAGAAAATGGACAGAAAAATGGGATACCTGGGCCCTGGCTGGTGTAGCTCAGTGGATTGAGCGCGGGCCTGTGAACCAGACAATCGAGGTTCGATTCCCAGTCAGGGCACATACCAGGGTTGCAGGCCGGTTCCCAGCAGGGGACACACAAAAGGCAACCATACATTGATGTTTCTCTCCCTCTCTCCTTCCCTTCCCCTCTAAAGATAAATAAATAAAATCTTTTTAAAAAATGGGATACCTGGGATACCTGGATGGACAGAGGAAGAACTAATAAATGAAGGGCCAAAGAGTGATCAGGGAAAATGAAGACAAGTTAGAAAGATAGAAGGAAAAAAGGAGAGGGAAGGACAGACAGGTGAATGGCAAGAAGGATGGGTGGAGAGACGGTTAAAAAGGAGAGAAGAATAAACTCACAGAAGCTGGAGAGATGAATAGAAGGACAGATAGAGGGCAAACAGGTGATAAGCAGAAGAATGGTTGTTTGGGTGGATGAATGGAGGGAAGGAAAGAAAGAGAGGGGGAAGGATGAATGGAAAGGATGAAGGGAGGGGTGGGGAGAGAGGAGAGGAGAGGGAGGAAAAATGTGTGTGAGAAAGGGAAAGGTGCTGGGATAATGGAAGACTACCTGGGTTAAAGGTTAAATGAAAGGACCAGTGAAGGAGTGCGTGGGCGGATGTGGCCTAACCACTGAGCAGCCACTGGAGTTTGCAGCTTGACGCTGAGGCTCCTTGTGGGGCCCCTATAAAGGATTTTGTTGGACAACAAAAATGTTGGAAGTGAACTTCGAGTCACTATCTGACCTCAAACCCCTCTCCCCGTAGGGAATGCTTGTTCAAATTGCTTCTTCCAACCCAAAGGATGTGGGGAATTTAGAAAGCCAATATTGTGGATGCAGGTCCAAAATGGGCCAAGGACTCAGCATTCTTCCTCCCACTCAGACCTTGGCCCCGCTCAGAAGACCAGCCTGAGTTTGAGGCAATCTCCATTTGACAGTGAGGGAAAAGCTGGGCTCAAAGACCCAGGGAGGCTGAAATGGGCACTGGAGGCAAAGATACGTACTTGGAGGAGGCTCATCTGGACCTTGTTCATTATAACCTGGAAATAAACAAGTCCCAGGTAAGGGGCGGTGGCAGGACAATCCCGGATGTTCTATGCGTTTGACCATGTGGGGTTCCTGCCTGGATTCCTTTCCCTGCACATACCAGGTGAGTTTCTACACACCTTCTAAGGTGAGACTCAAGTGTGATATCCACTATAAAGGCTTTCCTGATCCTTCCATTAAAAATGACCCTTTTCTACCCACCTATCCAGCGTGCCCCCAACAAGAGACTCTCACACACTTGTTTATCTCACACACATACGTGTATCCCCCCACATATCCATATATGCCATCACCTTCCCTCCCTCCTTCCCTCCCTCCCTCCCTCCCTCCATATTCACTCTATCCCTCCATCCAGTGAATATTTATCGGGACTTATTATGGTCCAAGTTCCATGCCATTTGGGGAATATACACTGAACAAAACAGTCTCTGTCCCAGTGGAGCTTACATGAGGACAGACTGTGCCGGTAGCCTGAATCTGTCCCTGGTGCCAGGCGTAAGGCCTGGCTTACAGTAGATGATTGGTAAGTGCCAAGTGAGTGAATAAAATGAAGCATGTAAGTTGTGCAGTTTGCAAAGGGGGTGTCAATCCTAAAGCGGCCCCTGCAATGGCCAAAGTGAAGGGAACAGATGTGAACTCAGAACACGAAGACCCCGACTGGCCACAAACCTACTGAGGGTGTGTGCAGGCCCCCTCCTCCCTCTGTACTTCTGTGTCCCTCCTCGCTAAAGTGGGAGTCATAGAGGACCAGATGGTCTGCCCGACCACCTGATGGGGCCATGGGGACAAGAAAGTGTGCATTGCTGAGTACCATTTCCGGGTTGTAGATGGAGAGGAGGGAAGCTGAGTTATTCCAATCAAACAACCACACCATACTCTGTTTCTCAGAACCCCAGACGAGGGTTGCCCTTTAAACCCTGTTGCTCCTGGATTCTAGGCTGACAGCCAGAATGTCCGAAGCTTGGATTCCCTGGATGTTCAGAGGCCTGCCTTTCCTCCCTGGCATAGGGTCCCACCCAGCAGAGAAGTGTATCCTTGGTCAAGGGAGAGACAAAAGCAGGGAGGGGAGAGGGCTGTGGGATTTTTTTTCCCCAAGTGTCTTCCAGAAAGACTGGCACTAGGTACTGACAAACTAGGGATTGTGACCTGGCTCCACCCACTCTCACGCTACAACCACTTACACAAATTACTTAACCTTTCTAAGCCTCAGTTTATTTATCTGTAAAATAGCTTTAATCAAGGATCAGCCTTACAGGGTATCTGGTGGGGGGAGGGAGAAGAGTCCATGTGGAGTAGAGATTCACACCTGAGTTTGTCTCAACTTTTCCCCTGGAGGACGGCTAAATGGGAGCCCTCTGGAGTCAGGGGGCGGCCCCAGTGGAGGGGGCTGAGAACTGCTAACCATTGAGGTAGAGGCTGTCCTTATCCAGAGAGTAGGGGCCCAGCCGAGTGATGCCCCGGGTCTGCCGGCTCAGCTCATGGAACACCTGCTCGGCAGGCAGACCTGGGCCGCTGGGAGGCTGGCGGTAGGTGCAGAGAAAGTCCACCCTTGTATTGGCGCCATTATTCACAGACCTGGGGAAGAAGAGGTTGACCTTTGGGGGATGCAGTTCACTGGGCACCTCTCCACCTGTGGGCCTTGCCCCCCTCAGACCCCATGTTTCAGCCTTGAAGAAACTTTGGCAGTTTCTCTACCAGGCCTCTGCCACCCCAGGACTTTGCACCTGTGGTGACTTCTGTCTCGAAGTCTCTTCCCCTCTCTCCTTCCCTGGGACACAGCTCAGAAGTCACCTGCCCAGAGAGGTCCCTCTGTCCCCCTGGGTAAACCTCCTTCCCCACCACTCTCTACTGTTGCTTTGCAGCACCTTACCACACCTGAGAGCACTTTACTTCAGTGTTTACTCCCTGACTCCTGTCTGCCCTCTCCACTGGATGAGGGCAGCGGCAGGGCCTGTCTTGTCACTGTGCTACCTGCTCCCCGCCTCAGAGGTGCTGCTCCATCGTGCCAATTGGATGAAAATGTGAATCGAGAGGTTCTTTGTAAATACCAACAGAACACAATCTGACCCAGAGGCGTGAAAATAATTGCCCATTGGATACAGACTTTTTGCCTGGGGTGATGAAAAGTTTTGGAACTAGATGGTGACAATGGGTGTACAACATTGTGCCTGTAACTGATGTCACTGAATTGTGTATCTAAAAATCATGTACTTAAAAGGGTAGTTTTGTGCCTATATGTGTTTTTTTGCAATATAAAAAAAATGTGACTTTGAAAAATAGAGGCAGAAAAGGACTGTCCAAGAACAGCCTGCCACAACCAGGGGTGTCCCCCACAGTCAGAAGTCCTTTGAGGGTGGGCTACGGGGGCCTGTGCTCTCACCTTAGCGAGGTGACCCTGCAACCTGCGTATCGGGAACCAAGGCTGCTTCTCCAGAACAACCGGCTGAGCTGGAGAGGAAGGAGAGGGCCAGTGTGGGTCAGAGGCAGGCACCAGTCTCTGGGACAGGCCATGGAGGGGTGGGAGGGGTAAGCAGGCCTCTCACCAGATGCTGCATGAGGGTGTTTGTGATGTTGAACTTGAGGGAGCCTGGATGGCCCATGTCTGCCGAGTAGTGTAGGTTGTTGATGGTGAAATTCAGGGTGAAAGGCTCCTCCTTGACCTCTGCAGCTATGGCGGGTGCAGAGAGAGCCAGTGCTCACAGGGAGGTTGGGGGGCCCAATGTCCATTTCAGAGTGGGAACTCCTAGGGCCCATGTGCTCCTCCTGATAAGCCTGCGGGTCACTTGTCAGTGGAGACAACTCCAGCAGTGAGTAAGAGCAGGCTTAATGATTTGGGGGCATTGAGAGGGGCCATTTCCACCCAGAAGCAGGAGGGGAGGGGTCAGTGAAAACATGGTGGCTTTTTGCAATAGTTTCCCAGGAGAGAAGTCTTTAACTTGTCTTGCAAATGGGGAACGGATGACCCCTGATATTTTTATTAATATTTTCTCTGTTCCCCATCTCTATCTTTGTCTCTCTGTGCCTTAATCTCTCTCTCTTCCTTTTGATATATATATATATATATATATATATATATATATATATATATATATATATATATATATAAGAATTTTGGCTTTTTAAACCACTGCATAGAAGATTGGCATTCCTGGTTGTAAGGGCAGGAGACTGATTTATTTATCTCTTGTCCACCTTTCTATATATCTCTATCTATCTATTTATCTATCTATCTATCTATTTATCTATCTATCTACATCTATCATCCTTCCTGCCATTACAACAAGTATGTCAACCTTCTGTACATTGATTTTAAAAGGTTAAAAAATTCTAGCAACTATAACCAACCTTTCTGCATTTCCATCTACTCATCTGTAAGATGAGATAAAAATGATTCCTACTTCAAAGGTTGTAATAAGGTTTTAACAAGTTAATTTTTGTAATGTACTTAAACACAGTACTGAATGCTGTGCTGAGCACAGAATGAACACTATGTGAGCATTCATTACATAAAATTAATAAGCAAATACTTCCTTATTATGTTGGAGCTTTTTACATGGATAAATATAAGTTGGGCACTGGAGTTACTCACATTAAATAAAGAAGGAAATCAAAGTGTGGAAATGGTCATCTGCCCAGGGTCCCATGGTTGGGAGGAGGGAGAGTTTGGTTTGGACCCAAGTCCTTGCTTGTGACCACCCCTGTTGTGCTCTTGCTCAGACTCATGCAGCTGGTACAATGTTCAATAGTTAGAATGACCTGTGTAGACCCCAACACAGGTCTACACAGGTCATTCTACACTGTGTAGAATAAATGAATGTATGATGCAGGTGAGACCAGTGGGCCCATGGCTTGACTCTTGAACAGTAAAATGATACAGGGCAGAATGTTTATTTAAGACAAAACTCTGGGGGAGCGGGGAGATTACTTCCCCTCTCCTCCCTCCCTCTATTCTCTTCGCCACTCCTTCCAAGGTTCCTTCTGTCCATACTTCCTTCTACTGTTCCATCCATCTTCCTTTCTATCCATCTATAGATCCTTCCTTCTCTCCCTCCCTTTTATTCTTTTCTTCCTCCTTTCCCTCCTTCCTTTCTTCCATCTTTACTTTCAAACGTCCATCTTCCTCCCCCCTCCATTCCTTCCTTTCTTCTACCAACCATCTAAACTATCTATCCATCCATCCTTCCATCTTCCTTTCTATCTCACTGCTTTTTATTAGTTCTTCCCATTTATACCTCCTTTTGTGTACCCCTCTGTCCATCCTTCCTCCTACCCGCTTCCTTCCATGTACCCATCTTTCCTTGCAGCCTCCCTCCATTCTCTGCTTTCTTCCATCTTTCATTCCTCCTATCCCTCTTTTCTCCCTCCCATCTATTTTATACATCTTTCCTCCCTTATTCTTTTTTTCTTCCATCCATCTTTTCTTCCTTCCATCTGCACATCCATCTTCTCTCCTTCCCTTCTTCCATTCTTCACCTCTTCCTTCCTTCCATCCATCCATCCATCCATTTTGCATTCCCTCCACGTGCATTGAATTGTTCCTATAATGCTCCAGGAACTACTCCACGGACTGGATAGTGAGGAACAAAACACAGTCAATGGAGATGACTTTAACTTATTTTTCATAATAAAATTTAGGAAGAGATGGTTGTTACAGGACCTCAGAAGTCCAGACTTGTTTTATGGTTTGGAAAAAGTGGAGGAGGCCAGTGATGGACCCAAGGACAGTTTGACAAACACACCCCTAATGAGAGGGCAATTAATTTTTGAAAACCTACAATCTTCATTGCAGTGCTTCAGAAGCAAAGGGAGTTTGGCCGGTAAACTGAAACACGGTACATGCGCACCCTAAATAAGCATGCTTTGGGGAATAAGTTCACTCATGGTTGAGGGCTAGAGTGTAAGTTTTGGAGCTACAGGAACTCTGGGTTCTATTATTTATTTGCTGTGTGGGCTGGCAGCCCCTCTTAGCCTGAGTTTTCTCAGCTGCAAATGGAGTTCAGTCACATGGTTGTATTGAGAATTAAAGGAGAGTGTCCATGTTTCGGAATCAATTGTGTCTTCTGCCAAAATTTGTAGGTTGTAACCCTAAAAACTACTGCCTCCATAGGTGACTGGACTGTAATTGAAATAGGGTGTTTAAAGAGGTAATTAAGTTAAAATGAGGCCATTGGAGAAGGGGGGTGATTATCCAATCTAACTGATGTCCTTGTAAGGAGAGGAAATTAGGACACACAGTGAGATACCAGGAAGGTGATACAGAGGGTGGATCAGTTGAAAAGGCATCAAGAGGGAAGCCATGGGCAAGCCAAGGAGGTTGGTCTCAGAGGGAACTGGCCCTGCCCACAGTTTGATCTTGGATGTCCAGCCTCCAGGGCTGTGAGAAAATAATTTCTGTTGTTTGAGCCACCCGGTCTGTGGTATTTTGTTATAGCAGTCTGAGCTGACTAATACAGTGTGTAACTCAGATGGTGCCTGGCAGGTAGAAACTTGAAATAAATGTTCACTGAAAATTTAAAAAATGGGTGTAACACTAAGTTCGAGAAACTCTAATAACAATGAAGAAAGATATGAGTAAAAGGATAAGAAAACAGTACCAAAGGCAGGGTTTTAGAAAAACCGGGTGAGGGTCAGAACGTGGTGGGGAAACATCGGTGTCTGAGAGGTCCTCACCCTGGACTGGAACTCTCCACTGGAACCCCAGGAGAAGGAGAGGGATGAGTCAGGGGCCCTGCCGGGTGTTTCTCTCACTGAGGACAGAAGGTGAAGGAGAGCAACCGCTCCCAATACTAAATGGGGAATGAGACCCAGGAATCGGGGCCAGGAATACTCACTGGTGGGAGTCAAGGCTGTGGCTCCATAGGTGTAACCTGCAGAGAGAAGGCAAGAGGCACTGGGTGAACATAAAGGATTAAGGGTAAGGGGTTTTTGTGATAAAAGCAGAGGGAGGAGGCAGTGGAGAAATATCCAAGAAGAAGGCAAACCAGCAACAAGACTGCAGGTGGCTGGACCCAGTGATCACTTCATCCCAAGGAAGGCCAACCCAGGCCAGAGGAGAAATGGATGGACCAAAGCTTGTTTGAGAGAAATACAGGCAACACGAAACCCAATCTGGGGAAGAGATGAGAGCTGCAGCTAAGCCCCTCACCATTGACGTGAAGGCTGTCCTTGTCCAGGGTGAAGGAGCCCAGCCGAGTGACACCGTGGGTCTGGTTGCTCAGCTCCCAGTACAGCTGCTCTCTGTCTAGCATGGGGCCCGCAAGACCAGAGTGGTAGGTGCAGACAATGTCCACTCCAGTGGCTGCTCCATGTTTCTCAAGCCTGGGGAATGCAGGACATGGGGGTGTGGAATACTGAAGGGGGTCATTCTGGGCAAGAAAGTGGAAGGGAGTGCTCTGAGAGAATGCTCAAGGGGTAGCTCTGAAGCCATGTGGGGGCTCTCCTAAATGTCTCTCACCTGAGACAACCCAGTCACAATTAGGGACAGAAAACATCTTAATTAGAATTTGCAGACAGGATGCAATAGTTCTTCTTATAGGAGAGTTTTCACTTAAAACTGAATGTTCTCTAAATTACATAAACTATAAACATGATGCCTCTTTTCTAAGCCATGAGCATTCTTACCACCTCTGGGCATGAAGATGGTGTAAAGGTGTCATGGAGGGTGCTGGGCACCAGTGGTGCCAGGGATGTGCCTGAGAACTGAGCCCTGCTGGCCAGTGCATGAGGGTCCACCTGATCTGGTAAGTCACTCTATCTGGATGTCTCACCTGAGCGAGGTCAATCTGCAGTGAGAGTAGAGGGGGCCAACACGGGTGTTACGGAGCAAGAGCCGCAGCTGGAATGAAGACGCGGTGGTGAGTAGGAGGGCTGAGGGGCTGCGGGTGGGCATGAGGTGGGGATGACAGTAGTCATGGGAGGCCACTCACCTGGCGCTGCAGGATCCTCTCAGTGGAATTGAACTTCAAAGAAGCTGGGCGCCCCATGTCCTCCGTGTAGTGCATGTTGGTGATGGTGAAGTTCAGGGTGAAGAACAGTAGGGTGGGGCCAGTGGCTGCCATGGGGAGAAAGAGAAATTGGTTCAGCTGGGAACAGAGTAAAGACCAAGTGGCTGGGGCTCTAGCTGTGGGGCGCCAGTACAGCCATGGGCTGCAGGAGCTGAAAGAGAGAACATTACGGGATTCCCAAGACCTCGGGAACGTTCACTCATTCACTCAGCAAGCATCTATTGAGAGCCTACTGTGTGAGCGGCTCTGTGCTGGACTCTGTGGTTCAAAGACAAATAGGCCACGGTCTTCCACTGTTGTGACCAGAGAATTATGATGTAGGGAAGCAGAGGAGGTGCCCTTCAAGGAGAGCCAGCCCATCCATGACCAGGGAGAGCTTCCCAGAGGAAACGTCATTTCTTGTGTCACCGAAAGCACAAGTAACAGGTGACAGGAGCTCCGCAGGAAGACAGAGCAGTTGTCCCAAGAACCTTGAAGTGCTTCCACCACAGCCTTGGGGAAGTGTAGACGTGAGACTGGAGGGAGCCTCTGAGCCCAGGAAGAAGGGCTGTGGCTACGCAGCTCAGGAGTTTGGGTGCGATTTGCAGAGCAGGTGGTCACCCAAAGATGGTCAGTAAGACAGGAATTATGTGGACAGAGATGCATCGGGAGGCACGCTGCAGCCACTGTATGGAGGTCAGAGTGGAGGCACCTGCAGTCGTCCTGGCAAAACTCTCCAGTGGCCTGAATGAAGGCCGAGTGGTGCTCGTGCAGAGAACAGAAGGACTCGTGGGCTATTCCAAGTGGAGAGGAGATGAGCTGGTGATGGGTGGAGGTGGGATGTGAGTGAGAGGGTAGGTCAAAGTCAGTGCCTGTGTCCCTGCCTTTGGTGATGAGGAGCAAGAGTAAGTTTGGGGAAAAGATGATGATTTTAGGGTCAGAGACCAAGGGGTCAGATGACGTCTAGGAGGTTGGGAGACCCAGGGCCAGGAGTGGCTGTGTGGTGTGGGCTGGACTCAGGATTTGGATTCTGAGCAGCTGGACCCTGAACAGCTAGGGGGGTCCCTGAATCCCACGGAAATGAATGTGTTCTCCTTGGGAAGGTGAGTGAGAAATGAGAGAAGTGATCTAGTATGAGTGATTTTATAGAGATGACTTTGGTGGCAGTAGGAGCCCTCCTACCAGGGGGCCTGATAGAGGGGGACGGAGCCAGAGAAGTGAGGCGTATGGACGTCACAGGAACTGAGGGGGGAAAGCAGGAATAGCATCCAAAGAGTACTGTAACCTTAGGGGAATGGTGGCGTTAGCGGGTTCTAGTTATAAAAACGTGCCCCTCTCTCTGTGCAGCATTAATCCTGGAGTCAGTTGTGCGCTGAGTGGGGAGGATGGGTGATGTTTAACCACATTTCCACGCATGACCTCTGAACTCCTTTCAACCAGATGGGGGCGTGGGTAATGGGGGGAAGGGTTGGCTGGTGGAGCAGCTCCTGTTTTTAGGGAAAAGGCAGCGGTCACGGGTACACAGAAGTCTGAAATACTCACTTTTGGGAGTGGTGGCTGAGAACAAATGGGTGTGACCTGTAAAGGGAGGGAGAGATGGTGAGGAAGGGAGAATTCTTCAACAAAAAGGCAAGCTGGCTGTTAGAGAGATGGTGGCTGGACTCAGAGCTGGGACTCATCAGAAGAAAGAGCTCATCTGGAAGACACAAAGACCGTCCCCACCCCAGGGAGGCAAAAGCCTTCTCAGATCTCTCTGAAACGTGAGACTCCAATGAGAGCCTGAACCTAGGCTGAAAGCCTGCTGTCCCAGAGCCACTCAGTGGGGAGGAGGCTGCCCCCACACAGCCCCTCACTGCTGGTGCAGACACCTGCACCACAGAACTGGGGAGTAAACACCCCGAGTATTTGGGCGGGTGGGAACCCCATCGTCCTGGAGATGCCATGGAGGAGGCGCCCACTTCTGGGCTCTGTGGGTACTGGTCCCGTTTATCCCAGACTGAAGGTGAGGTGGGGGTGGAGGGTGGAGGCAGTGGACTCCTGGTCTCTGTTCCTAAGGGCTGGGACTTAGAGGCTTGAGGAGACCCCTGAGCTCAGAATACTCACTCCTGGGGGTGCTGGTCTGGATCCGGTGGGTGTAACCTGCAAAGGTGGAGAAACGCTGTGAGGGGGAGGAGAGATTAGGGAAAGGGGCAATGGAAAGGGAGGATGCGAAACAAGCCGAGATTCCAAAAAGATGGCAGTCCTTCACCATCGACATAGAAATTGTCCTGGTCCAGGGTGTAGGGGCCCAGCTGGGTGAAGCCACGAGTCAGCCGGCTCAGCTCCCCATAGAGGCGCTCGGTGTCCAGCCTGGGACCTCCAGGGTCAGGGCGGTGTGTGCAGATGACGTCCATTCCAGTGGCTGTCCCATCCTTCCTGGGCCTGGGGAGGGTGGTTAAAGGGGATGACAAAAAATGAAGTGAGTTTCTAGGAGGGATCCTGAGTTCCTGGGGGCAGGACAGGAAGAGGCCATAGAAAACGAAGAGGCTGTCAGAGAGCTGGGAAGTCAGACTCAGTTTCCCTGAGCTCCCCGACTCTGGCCTTCCTCACACTGTGAGCTGAGTCAGTGGGTGGGGAAATTATTAAATGGCAAGACAGAAACTGTTGTTGGGTGAGAAGATTATTAGTAAATTGCAAGGCAGAAACCTGCATCTGTAAGGCATGGGGTTGGGAAAGCTCATTCTTGAGACATGTAGGGAGATGGAATCTGGGATTAGAGCAAGTGGAAAGGACACTATTATCTTGAGAAAAATGCTAGAATCAGAACTGAAAACCTAAAGGAAATGCCTTTGCTGGTCAAAGGGAGGGAGGAGGAAATTCAGAAAGATGACCAGGCTAGGAGCTCAGTCTTGCTGATAAGCTCTGCAGAATCTGGGGACCATTGTGGGGATGAGGGGAAGGAGGTGCACTCAGAAGAGGCATTTGTCCTGGAGCAAACACCTCCTGAATTCCACCTCTCCTAAGGACATGGAGGGGGAGGGCAGGAAGGAAGCAGACCAAATGCCTCAGATCTGGAAGCTCCTGAAGCTGCTCTAGCTGGCTATTCAAGGTCTCACCTGAGGAGGGTCAGTCTGCAGCCTGAGAAGAGTGTGCCCACACTGGTATTCTTGAACAAGTGCTTGAGCTGCGGGTGAGGACAAGGGAAGTAAACAGATGGGCTGAAGGGCAGGGGCAAGATGGTCACTTATGGTTGGGACAAGAGTGACGTGGGCAGGGTTAGCACTGACGGACAGGGCAGGAGCGGGGGGTGGTCATTGGTGGGCAGGAGGGAGTGTAGGTGGGTGGCTTCAATGAGCAGGACAGGGTGAGGTGGGTGGGACTGGCATCAGTACACTGGGCAGAGGGTAGGTGGGCAGGTCCGGCATCATGGCATGGCTCTCACCAGACGCTGCAGGAACTTCTCCGTGGTGTTGAATTTCAAGGAGCCTGGAGGCCACATGTCCTCCACATAGTGCAGGTTGGTGATGGTGAAGTTGAGGGTGAACGGCACGGGGGGTGGTTCTGTGGCTGCAGTTGGAGAGGGAGAGGAAGGTCCACCCTGAGTCAGGCCTGGGATAGATACGGGGGCAGGGCCTGTTGCTCTCACCACTGGTGTGTTAGGGGGGCTTCTGAAAGCCACTCAGTACTCACCACTGGAGGTAGTTTCTGAAGTCTTGTGTGTGTAGCCTGCAGAGAGAGAAAGAGCAAGAGAGAGAGAAGGTGCTGGCTGTTTGGGAGGAATTAAAGAGGGGAGAGTGAGGGCTCAGCAGCACAGCAAAGCAGGGGGCCACTGCTCACCATTGACATAGAGACTGTCCTGGTCCAGGGTGTAGGGACCCAACTTAGTGACACTTTGGGTCAGCTGGCTTAGCTGCCAGTACAGCCACTCTCTGTCTAGTCCCGGGCCTGCGGGGTCAGCGTGGTGGTTGCAAGCGATGTCCACGCTGGTGGCTGCTCCATCCCGCTCAGGCCTGTAGAGGACGGGACATGGGCAGAGACAACGAGGATCCGTCTGTGGAAGGTCCTTGAGAGCACTGTGCAGCTCTTGTCAACAGGCCCTGGGATGCTGGGTCACCCACCGTTGAGTGAATTTGCTCGAAATTGCAAAAATAGTTCCATAAGAGCCCAGATCCTGAGTCCAGGACTCCCGTCACTGGCCTCCCTGCCCTCTACAATCCACTCTATGCACAGAAGCCAATTCTCACTCCAAATGACAACCTGTCCTTGTTAGACATTTGCTGAAATACTTTTCGCGCCCTACTGCCTGTGGGTGACTCCCCAATGTCCCAGCACCCAGGCCTGCCTTGCTACCTCTCTGCCTTCCTCCTTGCAGGCGAGTATTTCTGCTCTGCACGTCCTCCCTGCCTTAGACTCTGCCTTCCCCACAGGTTAACTCCTCTCCCTGCAACACGCTTCCGGGCCAGAGCTGTGGCTCCTGCCATCACTCACTGCTCTCTGAGGATGAGGTTCCATCTCAGGTCTTCTATCTCCTATACTTCCCTTACCTCTTAGCACTTCAATGATGTCACTGGGCCTCTGTTTCTCATCTATAAAATGGGTCTACCCATGGTATCCAGGTATATCATCTGAGGACTAAACATGTTGATAATAGTCTGTGCTTAGAGTAATGTAATTAATATATATACATGTTTGCATATGTATATAACGCACGCTTCTTGATGGCCGAATCAATGCTTTGGCACCTGTCAAGTTTCTGGAGCAGAGCACTGAGCTTGGCACACACTAGGGGCTCAAGAAATGTTGTGGATGGAAAAATAATTCATGGAACCGCCAGTCAGAGAAGTGAGAGGACGTGTTCGCTGTGGGTGCATCAGCACCCCAGCCTGGGCTCTAAGGAAGATGACCTCATTCCATCTCTATTGGCCCCTTCAGGGAGAGAATCCTTTCTTGAACTCTATTTTTGAAAGTCTGGAGAGTTATTTTGGGGAGATGACCACTGAGGCTAAACCCTCCAAAAGACACCAAAATGTGGACCACTCATGCTCAGAAACCCCCACTGCTAGACGACCTCAAGCCGAGTCCACCTCTCTGCACTGGAAGGGAGCTGGGAGTCGAGGGCAGAGATGACATGAATGAGGCTGGATGGATGTTTCTTCACAATGAAAACAGGCAAAGCAAGCTTAGCGAGAAAAGGCCTCTGCTCTCAGGAGACCGGGCTTGAATCCCGTCCCGCCGTTTGGCCTCTCTGGGCTCCAGGGGAGTTCCTGAAGTCATACATGCCCTGACGTTTCATCTGTAAAATGGCGATATTAATAATGATGTTCAAAGAGTTTTGGGAGATAATGTCTGAAAATCATTTAAATGTAGCCCTCGATTTGCACTCCTCGGGGACATTTGGCAATGTCTGCGGATTTTTGGTTGTGTAACTTTGGGGGGTTGGGATACTACAGGCGTCTAGTGGGTAGAGGCCAAGATGCTACTTGAACATCCTATGAGGCAGACGACAGCCGCTTACAAGAATGATCTGACCCAAAATATCAATAGTGACCATACACGAAGAACCCCACTATCCGATGTACACTAAGTGCTTGCTCTATGTTGGCCTTCGGAAATATTTATATTCAGGGGTGACATCAGCAGCATGCCAGCACGAGTGGACCTCCAGGTCTCTCCCCTTGAAGTTACAAGTTGGGCCGGTATAATTCAATGAAAGATTCCCTGCTCAACACACATGTGTCTGAGACACAGTGCACCAAGACGAGGAGAGGTGGGCATGTCGGAGCGAACAGTGGAGACGGGGCAGGGAGGGGAGAGAAGAGAGACAGAAGCCGCACACAGTCTGGTGCTCCCGAGGCTTCAGCAGACACAAAAGCTGGTAAGAGTTGGGGCGTAACCGACGGGGGCAAATCAGAGGGGCAGAGAGAGCGACTGGGTCTGGGTGGCTGGCACACACTGAGGCTGGGCCCAGGGCCAGGGGCAGAGAAGCCGTGTAAAAAGTCCCAGTGTGCCCTGAGTGGTGTGCCCATGTTGATTGGGGATTGTCTGGTAAAGCAAGAGGTCGCTGGTTTGATTCCTGGTGAGAACACATGCCTGGGTTGCAGGTTCGGCCCTCAGTTGGGGTGCGTAGGAGAGGCAGCTGATTGATATTTCACTCTCAGATTGATGTTTCTCTCGCTCTCTGTCTCCCTCCCTTTCCCTCTCTCTAAAAATAGATCAATGAAATATTTTTTAAAAGTCGCAGCATGCCACAGACCACCAGAAGGAAACAAAGGATCCTCACACGTGGGAACGACCCGCCCCACTCCCTGCGGCCCACAGGGCAGTAAAATCCTCACTCAGCAGGTCACAGAGACTGAAAAGTCTAAATAGACCAACCCATAGTAAGGGAACCGGAACAGTCATAGACACAGACAACAGAACGGTGGTCACCAGAAGGGAAGGGGGTTGGGAGGGGAGGCTGAAGAGGGTAAAGGGGTCAAACACACGGTGATGGAAGGCGACCGGACTTTGGGTGGTGAGCACACAATGCAGTGTGCAGATGATACGTGACAGACTTGCATACCTGAAACATGTAAGTTTGGTTGTTAACCCATGTCATCTCAACAAATTAAATTTAAAAACTAATTAAATGCAGGGTGTGTTGAGGACATGGTAGGCTGTAGGTTTAGTCTTTGTGAAGGATCAGGGATGCATCTTTTATGACAAATTTGGTGCATACTTTCAGGTTATTATGTTTTATCATTTTGTTCCTATTTAGTATTATATGTGCGATTTGAGGCTCTTGAGGATGAGAAGGTCCAGAATAGGGACCAAGGGCCAGAAGGGGATGGTGGCTGTTTCATGTGGGCAGCTGGAAAGGGCTGAGGCCAAAGGGAGAACCCAGCTCTAGGGGACTGTGCCTCGCTGGGACACCTCTGTTGGCCTTACCTGAGCGAGGTGAGTCTGCAGCTGGAGTCGAGGAGGCTCACACTGGTGTTCTTAAACAAGGCTCTGAGCTGTTGAGGGGAGAAGAGGAAGTGAGTAGAAGGACCAGTAGGGAAGGACAGGGGCAGGGCTGGGATGAGGTGGGGGCTGGTGTCAACTGGGGGGCAGAAACACATGCATGAGGCACAGTAGAGGTGGGGTGACCACAGAAGTGGGCGTGGCGGGCATCGGCGGGCAGTGAGGGAGTGAAGTGGGCAGAGTCTCACCAGGTGCTGCAGGAGCTTCTCTATTTTGTTGAACTTCACTGAGCCCGGAAACTGCATGTCCTCCATGTAGTGCAGGTTGGTGATGGTGAAGTTAAGGGTGAGTGGCACCAGGACAGGGCCAGAGACTGCAGTGAGGTTGAGAGAGAGGACATCACACCCCGATTCCCTGCCTGAGCTGAGGGGTCAGGAGCAGTAGGGCAGTGAGTCTGGTATTCACATCTAGGGCTCAGAATGACTATTCCCAGAATAGGAAGCTTTATGTTGAATGACACCAATAATAGTTAATAGTAATGGTAATAATGGCAATAAAAACAGCCACAATAATAACAGCTGGTGTTTGGTGAGAGCTTACTCTATGCCACCCTGTGCTTATACAATCCTGAAACAACCCTTGGGGTACATCCTGCTACTTACCCCCCACTGACAGACCAAATGGGTGAGAGAGACAGTAAGGCATCTCCCAAGGCCACGCGCCTATGTTAGGGCAGCTCAGGCTCTAGAGTGCGAAAAACTTAGAATTGAGTCCTGAGCATGTGCTGGCTGTGTGACCTCAGAAAAACACTGATTCCTCGAGGAGCCAGTCCACGCCTCTCTGAAATGGACAAATAGCAGTGTCCAGCTGCGGGAGTTGAAAACCTTATATATGAGGGTCCCCTTTATGTGGCAATCAGTGAGTGCTGCTCTTTTACTTTGCTGCTGTTGTTATTATTGATGCCTGCTTTCTCTGTTGACCCCTTTAGCCTCTGCCCTTTGGGAACTAGTCCTGGATTCGCACTGGACTTTTTCTATTCAATTCCAGTAGAAGGTGGAGTTTCAGGAATTGTTACAGAATGCACTGCTGGATCTGATCTCACCAACTGATGCCCCACCCCATCCCCCACACTCTGGGTCCCCTGGAAGGCCACTTGGGGTAGACTATAAAGATGGCCACCAATTCTTCACCTCCTCACACCCACACGCTTGCCATGTGGTGCTGCAGCCCCTCCCACCAAGAGATGGGAGCCTATTTCTCCAGCTCTTGACTCTGGCTTGGACATGACTTGCCTGGACAATGAGAGGAGAGAAATGTGATGCAAGCAGAGGCCTGAAAGGCACTCGTACGATAAGGTTTGCCCTCTCTTGCTGCTGGGAACCTTAGGGGCCCCCTGTGAACCAGCCGGAGCTAGTCTGTTGGATGACGTGAGGCCACATGAAAGAGAACTGGGGCACGCCACCCATCAGCCAGGCATCCTCCAGAGTCACCTAGTTTACCTGCAGGTGGCTGCAGTCACATGAGGAAGCCTGGTGCAGACCACTCACACTGCAGAGCTGATCTGTATATTCCTGAGCAGCAGTCAATGACTGTTTTAATACAGTAGATTTGGTGCTCACTTGTTATATAGGAGATGCTAACTGATACAAAACCTTAACAGAAAGCAACGGGTGGATTAAAAGGAGCCACACCTTCAATCTGGAATTGAAAACCTGAGGTCACAGAGCTCTTCAAACACAGAGATGGAGGTGTACTGGCCTGTGATGAGGGTGTGGCTCCCCAAATTTACCCTCTGCACACTGTCCCCTAGCCTTGACCTGCCCGAGCATACTGTCTTGACTTCTCATTGTGAAGCATAGCGGCTTATTTGTGGGAAGGTAGTAGACATGGAGAGAAGGCTCTTACCTGTAGAACTGGAGGGCATTAGAGCTGATGAGTTTCCCAAGGAGGGTGTGGGAATCGCAGAAACTGAGGAGGAAGCATCAGAAAAGAAAATGACGCAGCTTCACCTCAAAGGTACCAGAGATAGTTCGACCTTGATACCCAAAATGAGTCACAGAAGTTGGGGGGCTGTAACAAGGGCCCTAAGGCTTCCTTCCCCCCATTGAGGCCTTAGCCATAGGGAGGAGCAACCGGCTGCTCCCACCTATCTCTGTGGGGCCATGGGGCCATGGGGCCACCTAAAGCCTGAACACTTACCATTGGAAATGGAGGTCGAAGCTGGTTTGGTGTAACCTGCAGAGTGGATACAAGTGAAGTGGAGGTTTCAAAGGTTATTAAGAATGGGATGAACGGGGTGGGCCACTGGGGGGAGAGCAGAGGCCATCAAGAGTTTGTGTCTCTACAGACAGTGAGCTGTGATAACCTTTCTCCGCCCCTCTCTGTGTGTGATATGTGCACACATAGTGGAGAATGCAGACCTTACGGGAGAGGAGGAGTGAGGAGAGAGATATCTAGAAGCAGACAAGGGTGTATCCTCTGGCCGGAGCTCAGGGCATCAAGAGAAGAATCCACCTGCTGCTGCAGAGGACCAAGTCACCATGAGATGCTCACCACTGACATAGAGACGATCCTTGTCCAGGATGTAGGGACCAAGCCGGGTGACACCATAGGTCTGGTGGCTCAGCTCCCAGTAGAGCTGCTCCCTGTCCAACAGGAGGCCTGCAGGGTCAGGATGGTGGGTACAAATGGCATCAACTCCAGTGGCTGCTCCACCCTTTTCAGGCCTGGAGAGAGGACAGGGATATGGGGACAGGGCTGAGACATCCTGGTAGGACACTCTTTTCTCAGTCCTCTTATACGTGAATGCCGGCTCCTCTGCTCTCCTGGTCCAGGCTGAGTCACTCACAAGACAAGGGGCATCTTTGAGCCACAAAGGACCAGAGTGGATGAGTCAGATGACCATCAGTTCAACTGTAGCTCTTCCAAATAATGCGCATGGCTTCTCCAACCACTTCTCATGTCTCTACGGTGTGGGGAATGCTATGATGACTTGGCTGGAATATCATGGGATTCGGAAATGACTGATATAAAACATGCAGCCCTCCCACCCTATACATTAGAAGTGCTCATAATTAATGAATTGTTTAATTAAACAAATATTTACAAAGCACCCACAGTCCCTAGGGAAACTGGATAGCAAGCAGCTCTAGACAGAGACTCATCATCAGCTCGCAGAAGGCTGCTCCAATCCAAGTTTTTTTTCTTTTCTTTTATTGATTCCAGAGAAAGGGGAAGGGAAGGAGAAAGAGAGGAAAATAAATATTAAAGTGAGAGAGAAACATCAATTGGTTGCCTCTTGCACACACCTCGCCTGGGACCGAACCTGCAACCAGGGTATGTGCCAGGCTGGGAATTGAACCCATGACCTTTGGGTTTGTGGCACTGAGCCACACAGGCCAGGGCCCAATCCAAGTTTTGGACCTAGCATCTGATCATAAGACATTGCATAGCAGAGACGCCCACCCACTGCCCACCTTCTTGTGTCACCATTTCTCTGAGCATCAGGAAAAATGAGTCCTGAAGGGATAACCTGGGAGATCCAGCAGGTTGCACTGTCAGAGAGCATTATCGGGGAGAAACAGGTCCCCTTGCACCTCAGCAGGCTCGAAGTGACCTGGAGCTAAGATGCTTTTAGCTCTGGTCTCTTAGAAACTTGATAAAGGTGCAATGTCAATTGCATTGCCTGGCGGTGCTGCTGGTGGAGAAAATGGCCTCTGGTAGATGACCTGCATCTTTTCTGGGGGGACCTTAAATGGACGGACATCAGTACCCAGCAGGAAGCTCTAGTTTTGGGCTCCTTTAGGTGTGGGGCGACCCTGTTAACTGGGCAGAACTATTACAAGGTATACTGGCTCCCCTGTGGGCCTGTCCATTGGTGTTTCGGTTCTTTGCACGTGGGCTGTCGCCTGGAATGCCAAAAGAGTAGCCTTTCGACTGCCAAGAGCTTTCTTGCAAAAAAGAAATGCCCACTGCTGCTCTGCTGGAGGGCTGTTTGCTGTCCACGCCCTTCTAAGTAGAAGGGCAGTCGTGTATGTCACGTGTATGTCGAGTTCAGATCTTGCAGATCTGGCTGTCTGCTTGGATGATCTACAATGGGCAGGGCCCGGCACCAGCACCAGGGCTGGGAGTAGCTGGAGGCAAGCAAGGCGCCCAGCTGTGCTAACTCTCAGCTTTGTGCAGGTACAGGGTTAGCACCTGAAGGGGAGCATCTCCTTAAATTCTGTGCTCTGGGCACCTGGCTTCCGTTAGCTCAGTCTAGGCCCTGGTCAGCCCAACCAGCCCACACCTGCTATACCTCTGAAGGCAAGACAAAGAGGAGGTCTCACCGTAGTGTGGCCAGTCTGCAGCCAGTGTAGAGTGAGCCAATGCTGCTGTTGGTGAACAAGGGCTTGAGCTGAGGAGGAAAGAGTGGGTGGATACAAAATAAGTATAAAAGTAATCATCATATAAAACACAATATTTTAAAAGAAAACCGTAGCTCTCTAATCTTCTCATACCACATTTATTTCTCCAAAGGACTCTGTGGGATAAGCAATTTCATTGTCTCAGTTTTACGATATGAGACAATATGAGGAAACAGCATCACAAGACTAATCACTACTCCAAATTCACATCGCTTGTACTTGAGGCTGGAACTGCCTACCTCCCTACCCCTCATAGTCTCCAAAACTGTAGCAAGGAGAAGTGGGCTGGAGGTTGGGAAGAAAAGTGGGTAGCAGGGGGCTCTTACCAGATATTGTAGAAATGACTCTGTGGAGTTGAACTTTGCAGAGCCTGGCTGCATGTCTTCCGTGTGGTGCAGGTTGGTGATGGTGAAGTTGAGGGTGAAGGGCACCAGGGCAGGGCCAGGAGCTGCAGTGGGGAGGGGGAGGAGAGACCACACCCTGAGTCAGTGTTGGGCCAGATGTGGGGCAAAGGGTCACTGGAACACAACCTCTGCCTGCTCCAGAGACCCCATCAGCTTGAACATGAAAGGGAGGGGGTGCCCATGCCAGGGGCTTTATATGGGTATCATTTCCTGTTTGCTTCTGAGACTGGAGATGGAGTAGGGGTGGGGGTGGAGGCAGCGGTGAATTCTATTTTAATGGACTCCAACTTTTGCCACATACAGAAAGTGGAGATGATGGGATCAGCGTGCTACGTAATGATCCAAAGGTGGTGCCTGTATATTGGCCTCTAGGTCATGTATTTCCTCAGAGCAGGCTGGGATCCATTAGCTGAAATGTTTACATGTCCAGTTATTTTAAGCATAGCCCAGAAAAGCACATTTAAGCCATTTTGAGCCTGCCTGCTGGGCAGATCCTGTGAAACTGCACCCAGCACCTGATGTTCATGAACACAACAAGCCTGGTGCCTGTAACCCTCCTAAGCTGCTGCTGCCCTTCAGAGTTGGTGAACCCAGAGGTCCCCCGCTGGGCAGCCGAGTGACATCCCCAGGGCTCAGAGCCTCCTCTCCAACCCCCTTGTCCCCTGTGTGCTCCCTGGCCTTTCCCTCCTCAGGAGTGGTCCCCATGCCACGATCTCTTTTCTTTTTAGTTTTTAGTTTTCAGCTACAGTTCACATTCAGTACTAGTTTGTATGAGTCTCAGGTGTGCAGTACAGTGGTTAGACAACCATGTACTTTACAAAGTGTTCCCCTGATATGTCCAGTGCCCACCTGGCACCATGCAGAGCTTCAAGCTGGTAACAACCACTTCCACAAGCAAACACTGGGCCTCATTCAAGGTAAAGGGCTATAGTTTTTGTAGTACTTATATATTTCTTAACCACTCAACATATGTAAAAACTTCTGTTTCACTAGACTCCTATTTTTGTTATGTCGCTGACAAGGTTTCTGAGCGTTGAGCCCCAGCCCCATTTTTTGCCCTGTGAGTTCCATGGTGTGGTTTTGCAGAGCTCAGGTTCGAGATTCCCCGGGTCGGGTTAGAGCCAAACGATGCCCAACAAACAAAACGCCGACGGCTAGGCCAGATGCGCAGAGGCTTCTGGCACCACTGCCTCAGTTTGTCCGTTTGTCCGTTTGCGTTATAAAAAGTGGGGGGATGGGACAAACACACGCAAAATACTCATGAAACCCTGGAGAAACCACCTCGTGGTCCCCAGACTTCAGTAAACTGCACATTCCTTAATGCGCTGCTAAAACGAAACGACTGTATGTGTTCACTTCAGCCGGAGAGGCTGCACAGTTCACTACAAGCGAACAAAGTGGGGTTTAGGGGGGCTGACCCCCGTGCAGTCAAAAACTGCATATAACTTTTGAATCCCCCAAACCTTAAGCTGACCCTCAGTATCTGGAGGAACTGGTTCCAGGACTCCCTGAGGCTACACAGACCCACGATGCTCAGGTCCCCCCTGCATTAAACGGTGTAGATCTATGCAGAGAGTCAGCCCCCCGACATCCAGGGACTCTCGACTGCAGATAAAAACAATACAGGTATTCCTTGAAAAAAATTCACATGTAAGTGGACTTGTGCAGTTCAAATTCGTGTTGCTCGAGGGTCAACTGTATACATTTGCAAGGAACAGATTAAAAAATGTATTATAAGAAGAATAAAGTCATATCTACTCAATATATTCAGAAAAGACATTACTCAAAACAAGCTATTGGTTAATTAGGTAAACTGAGCAATGGGTCTTTACTGATTTGGCTTTGGTGAAGTGGCCACTGGGTAAATCTGTTCTCAGTGAGAGGTTCTGCCTTCCATTCTTCCAAGGGTTGTGGGATAATCTAGAATTCGGGGTTTACCTACAGTTTTCAGAAACAGGTTACAGGGAATGGCCTAGGACTGGGGGTGGGGCTGGAAATCTGCAGGGGCCTTGGTAGTCCCGTCACACCCTCAGAGTCAGCCTTGGTCTCTCTGGAGTGACACCACCTACTCCACCCCTCCTCGATGTCCTGTGATTAGAACCCAACAGAAGTGACTGGGAGCATCTCTGTAGAAGAGAAGGCCTACCTGTGGGCCCGGAGGAAGGAGGTGGGATCCCTGCAGCAACTGTGGCCACCATGGACACTGGAGACAAAAAAAAAGCCATGAGCTTGGGGTGGGGAACTATCCCATCACCTTGGAGATTCCAGAGAGGGGGTGGCCATGCCTGGGAGTAACTTGGGTGCCGGTCCCTGTTCGTTGGAGGCTGGGGGCAGGCCTCTCCCATTCCTAAGGGCTGAGACTCACAGGGCTGAAGAGACTTCTAAACCTCAGAATACTCACTGCTGGGGGTGGTTGTCCGAGTCTGATGGGTGTAACCTGCACAGGTGAAGAATGATAAGGTGAGGAGGGGGAAAGATGAAGGAGAATGAAAAATGAAAGAGAACGTGGGACCTGCTGAGATGCAAGAAAACACGGCAGCCCCTCACCATTGACGTAGAGACTGTCCTGGTCCAGGGTGTAGGGGCCCAGCCGAGTGACGCCATAAGTCAGCTGGCTCAGCTCCCAGTACAGCCGCTCGCTGTTCAGCCCAGGGCCCCCTGGGTCAGGATGGTGTGTGCAGACAATGTCCACTCCAGTGGCTGTCTCATCTTTCCTGGGCCTGGGGAGGGTAGTTAAGGGGGATGCCAATAAATGAAGTGAGTACCTAGGAAGAGGTCCTGACATTCCTAAGGGCAGGACAGGAAGGGCCATGAAAACGAGGAGGCTGTCAGAGAGCTGAGAAGTCAGACAGATTCTGAGCTCACCGACTTCTGGCCAGCCTGGGCCTTGGAGCAGGGTCAGTGAGTGAGAGAATTAGTATTCCATTGCAAGGCAGAAACCTACATCCTCAAGGCATAGGGGCAAGAGAGCTCATACTTGAGACGTTTAGATTGGGATCTGGGGTTAAAGCAAGTGAGAAGGACGTATTTGGCTTGAGAAAATTCTGGGGACAGAACTGAAAACCTAAAGGAAATGCCTCGATGGTCAAAGGGCAGAAGGGAATTTGGAAGGATGATTAGGTTAGGGGTCCAATCTTGCTGATGGGATCTGCAGAATCTGGGGACAGCTGATGGGGAGGTGCCATCAGAAGAGGCATTGATCCCGAAATCCATCTCTGGTGGGGACCTGGACAAGGAGGGCGGGAAGGAATGGGACCAAACTCCTCAGGCCTAGGAGCACGTGAGGCTGCCCCGAATGGCTATTCCAAGGTCTTACCTTAGCATGGTCAGTCTGCAGCCCACGTAGAGGGGGCCCACACTGCTTTTCTTAAACAAGATTCTGAGCTGTAGAGAAAAGAGAGGGAAGTGAGCGGAGGGGCAGGGCAGAAGTGTGAGGAATAGGGATGGCATCAGTGGGTGGGGCTTGTAGCTACAGAGACAAAGGTGAGGTGAGGTGGTGAAATCTTCCTCCCCAGGTGTGACTCAGGTGGGTGGGCAGGACTTGCATTGGTGGTTAGGGCTACAGTGAGGTGAACCAGGGTCAGCTTCCATAGGTGTGGAAGGAATTAGGTGGGCCAGCCTCAGGGGCTGGGGCAGGAGTGAAGTGGGCGAAGCTCTCACCAGGCCCTGCAGAACTTTCTCAGTGGTGTTGAACTTCCAGGAACCAAGGCGACCCATGTTCTCCTCATAGTGCAAGTTAGTGACAGTGAAGTTGAGAGTGAATGGCATGAGGGCAGGAACAGTGGCTGCAGTGGAGGAGGGAGAGATGCCCACTGAGCCCACCCTATGCTCAGTGAGCACCGGGGAGGGGTATCCTCTTCCAACACCGGAAACTTTGACCGGGAGGAGATCCCAGACAGCAGCAGGAGCTGAGGGGCACTGAGGACAAGTATGACTAATTGCATTATGGAGGTGCATTCACCCTAAAGCAGAGAGCAAACACGGCGCCCTCCGCTCTGCTGAAATTCCAGGCAGATAGCCCCTTTTCTGGAGGGCTTTCCTTTTAAAAAAAAATTGCACCCAAGTTGCTTCTATGAGATCTACTTATTTATTGTCTGAAATTTTTATTTGAAGAAACACATTGTGTTTTTACAGGTCAGGACCTGTTTTAAGTGTTTTCCTTACATTCTAACTCATTTAAGCCTTGAGCCAGGAAGATAGTAATCTTTATTTTACAGATTTAAAACTAAGCCCAAGGGAGGTGGAATAACTTGCCCCACATCACACAATCTCTAAATGGCAGGTGTTGTGGTCCCAGAGCCTGTGCTCCTGACACCCCGACCTGGGACCACAGGCAGATCCCACCTACAGTGACCACTTTTCTGGCTGAGAGAACAGGGGTCCAAAGGCCTTCAGGAGGCCCTAACTGATGAGTCCGACAGTTGTGAGTAACACAGCGGTGAGGACAGCTCATCTAGGACCCGCATCAGGGACCCTGGGTCTTAGCAAAGTCTACCACAAGCCAGTGGGAGCCCAGGTGGAAAGTCAGCCCTCGTTGCAACCAGAATCTGCCCAAATCCCTGACTAGGACCTGTAAGAGGGCATTTCGAGGCATACATGGAGTTCAAGCGGTTCCCTGGTTTCCTGGGAATGAAAACTAAAGAGCCTAGAGAATGAAGCCCCTACCCCCCCCCCCACACCTTCAGAATTCACCTGAGGCCATTCTGGGTATAATTCAATACCCATTTATGCCCTCAAGTCCTCACTGTCTGTCTGTTGCTTTTGAAAGCCAGTCAAAGACTAGGCCCCTTCCCATTCCATTTGCTTCTGCATTACCAGGGCCTTTTATGCAGTAAGTGCTAAATGAACACTTATTGAGTGAACGAGGAAATGGGCGTGGCTCTTCACTGGGAAATCACACAGAGGAAGCCCCTACCGATGGAGATGGGGACTGGGGTCCCTGAAGTTGCTGGGGGGATGGTGGAGGTCATAGCAGCTGAAAAGAAAACACAGTGAGTCAAATACGGTGGATGAGGGCTTCCCCTGCCAAACAGGGCCCATCACGGCACCCTCAGACCTCTTCCCTATCTGTGCTCACGCCTGTGCCAGGCTTCTCTTTTCTGAGCAGGACAGTGAAAGTGTGGAAAATCTGAAGTTTTCTGACTTTTTCTTTCCCTAGAGAGCTGTGGCAAGGACAGCAGAGAGGAGGGGTGGGCCCTCGGGCAGAGCAACAGTAGGACCCAGATGACTACTCACTGCTGGGGGCGGAGGTCAGGGCCTGGTGGGTGTAACCTGCAGAAAGAGAGGGAGAGAGGCTGAGGAGTTGTAGGGATGGGGTTGGCAGAAACTGTCAAGGATCTGGGGCCCGCTGAGTGTCTATGAATCTATTTAAGCAGTAGTTTTGGAGTACCCCCAAAATGAAGACCCTGTAGACAAACCCCCAAGAATGTCACTAGAGCTTAGGGAAGAATTTTCTCTATCAGGGCATCTGTCACCTTCACCCCTCTGCCATCTGCACCCAAGCCCCTTCTCTGAGTGTCTGATCTCTCAGTACATCTGTGAAAAAGCTGTGAGTGTGTGTCTCTTCCTGAGGGAAACAACCAAAGGTGCAGGTCGGTTTGGGACCAGCTGGTATCCTCCCCACGCCCCAGAGGACAGGAGACCCAGAATGTGTGCCATGAGCCCGGGGCACACAGTCTGCAGTGGGGCCCCCACGGCGGCACAGCCTCACCATTGACACAAAGGCTGTCCCTGTCGAGCGTGAAGGAGCCCAGCCGGGTGACGCCATGGGTCTCATGGCTCAGCTCCCCATACAGCTGCTCTCTGTCCAGCCCTGTGCTTGTGGGCTCAGAGTGGTAGGTGCAGACGGCGTCCACTCTGGTGGCCGACCCGTCCTTCACAGGCCTGGGGGTGGGGGAGGAACATGGGTATGAAAATGCGTAGGACTGATGATGGGGGGACTGCAAGGATGAAATGTCTAGAAAAGCCACGAAGCTGAAATAATTTCCTTAGAAGGCAAAAAATAAAAAGGCAAAATATCTAGAACTTATGAATAATCAAAGGAAGAAGATGGATTAAAACTCAAGCTGGTACAATGCTTGTTCATCTTCCTGCCGCCCTACTCTCAGATCAGGGTGAAGAATATTCAGGTGGGGGCAGCCCCGAGACCTTGCATAGCCTTTGAGCACCTTAAATGTGGGTTAAGAAATGGCATGCCACAAGGCTGTTCACTTTTGCTTTTTAAGTATTCCCCAGTACAGTATAATTTGGAAATGACGAGGCTCAAACTGCTGGGACCGGGAGTGGAGGTCAGGGCCTGGTGGTTGTAACCTGCAGAAAGAGAGGGAGGGAGGCTGAGAAGTTGTAGGGATGGGGTTGGACCTGTTGGAGGACAGAACAGAAGCCTGAGAAACAGGAACTGGGAAGAGGCTCGGTGGACAGGTAGCCAGAGCTGCTGCGCTGGGCAGGTGGGAAATGTGCACAGGGCGGAGAACAGAAACGGAATCTGGGAGGCATGGGATGTGAGCATCCACTTCTGAGCCTCTCACCTGAGTGAGGTCAGTCTGCAGCTGGAATACAGTGGGCCGATGCTGGTGCTCTTGAACAAAGAACCAAGCTGGGGAGATATAAGAGGGAGGTAAGCAGGAGACGGGGAGTTGGCAAGACAGGGGTGAGGAGGGTGGGCAGCAGGCACCTCGAGGCTCTTACAATGGGCTGCAGGACCTCTTCCGTCATGTTTAATTTTGCAGATCCAGGATGCCCCATGCCAGGCACGTACCGCAGGTTTGTGATGGTAAAGTTGAGGGTAAATGGCACCAGGATAGGGCTGGTTGTTGCAACTGGAAGGGAGATGAGAGGATCCTCCTGAACCTGCTAGGACTCTGTCCAGTTCATCTTGCAGCCTCTGAGCCCTCACACTTATGGGCTCTGGTTTCTCTACCAGAGGGCTCCACCCTGCTTGGCTCTTAATCCAAAACAGGCAGGGTCCACCATGTAAATCACACCCAATGCTCTTGGTATTTGGAATTGGTTCTTCTCCTGGGAGCTCTGATTTGGAGTTTGCTAATGTGACGCCAAGTCTTTATTGGCCTGGTTATGTGACCAGACTCACACCTCTGGTTCCTGGTTATAATTTTAGTTCATCCATTCATTCGTTGAACACGTATTTATTGAGCACCAGCTATGCATGAGGCATCACATCAAATATATGTGCCATCACCATGGGGCACATATATTTCTAGTTAGGAAAATAGAATTTATCTCAGGTATTTCAATAGAAGGAATCTAACACAAAAATACAGAGAGAGGTGAACAAAATCAAGAATCCCTCAGCCCCATAGGGCTATTGGGGAAAAGGAATGAGAGAACAGCATAGCAGCAATTGCTGAGGCCATGAGGGGACACAGCCCCTGCTGGAGATGCTACAAGAAGCAGAGGGAGGGAGGAGGAGAAGCACCCTGGCTCTTCTCTGGCCCTGCCCACCACTGTTCCCCCGATGCCTCCTATTGGCCGAACCTCACAGGCAGCTAGTTAGCAAGTGTGAGGAAGCCTGGATCAAACAGGCATTCTCAGTTACGACCCAGCTGAGCCTGAGCCGAGAACTTCCAGCTCATCGATGCCTCCCCGGAAAACCATAGAGCCACTCACACCTCATCTAAGGACCTAATTTCCTTGAATTCTGCCCCAGAATCCTGTGGCAACGCTGCTGACAGGGTAGCGACTGCCTGAGGTGTTTTGTGGATAGGGATTCTGAAGCTGTCTGGAGTTCAGGAAGAAGAGGTGCTATTACCATTTAGGGATGTGGGCCATGGACGAGGGCGTGGGGGGCACCGGCACAGATGCCACATGTTTATACTGGGTGGGGTCTGACAGGGTCCCTAAAAATTAGAACCAGGGAAGGAAAGGAGTGTTTGCACTCATCACAGAGAATCACACTTGATTCCTTCCTTTCCTGGGAAAATCCACACATTGCCTATAGACCTACTATGTGCACATCACTGCAGTAGACACTAAGGAGCACAAAGGAGTAAGACAGAGTGCTTCATACTGTAGGTTTACTTAATTGTGAGGTCAACAGAAATAACCATAATTGTCAAATACAGAGAAAACGCAAGCATGTACAATATACTTATTTTTAAAAATAAGCCACGGGATTTAAAGTGAGTGATAAACAGAAGGTTTCTATGTCTTCTTTGCCTATAATGGTAGAAAGTTTTCAAAGGCATATTAGATAACACTAGGTAGGTAGTGAGCACAGCACCTGGCCCATGTTCAGCACTCAGTAATGTCACATGTTACCCCTTACCTTTTGATCACCACATCATCACTGCCACCATCACCGTCTCTACCATCCCCACACCATTACCACCATCATCATCAGTGCCTTTGTCACCATCACCAACACTGTCATCATTACCACCACCTCATCATCACCGTCATTGTCACCGTCCGCTTTATCACCATCACCATCATCACAATATACACTCTTATATCACAAAATATAAGCTCTATGAAGGCAGAAATTTTGTAAAATTTCCTGTTCCCTGATGTATCCCCAGGACCCAGCACAGAGTAGCTGCTCAATAAAGTTCATCGATTGATTCATTATTACATTTACTCTGACTTTCTGTCTTTATTTGAGTGAATAATGCCAGAGATGGTAACACCCACCAGGGATTCTCTAACTGATGTACCATTCGCCAACACTTACCTGGGGCGCTGGAGAATGAAGATGGGGTCCCCAAGGTCCCTAGGTCGACTGTGGAGGTCCCAGGAGCTACAGAAGAGCGCTTGTCAGTGAAAGCAGAAAGGCGCCCCCATGGCAGAAACACAGCAGGGGGTATTATTATTACTATTGGACTCGCTGCACGCGTGCAAGCTGGGATTCCCTCTGCAGCTGGGGAAGAGGGGAAGTAGGTAACCTATGCCCTCCCAGGGGCTCCCTCCCTGTGGAGTGGGGGTCACTGGGACATCGCTTGTGTACTCACTGCTGGTGAAGAGTGTGGGGCTCCGATGGGTGAAACCTATAGCAAGAGTGAGGGAGGCTCGTGGGTAAGGGTTAGGGGAGAGGTGGGGGACCCCATATGGTCAGGGCTACCCTGGTGCAAGGAGGAGGGTTCGTGGGGAAGACAGAGGTTGTTGGGGACTCTCCGTCAGCACCCTTATACCAGGAAAGAAGGCCCTGAGGGTGAAGTGAGTCCAAGATGAAGAACAAACCATGAGGTCCATTTAGCCACATGGCCAAGCCCCAAAGGGCCAGAAGAGAAACTCTCAAGTCAGCAGGCAGAGGCTGCCCGGTAAGGAGAAAGAGAGCACACGGCAGCCGCTCACCATTGACCCAGAGGCTGTCCCTGTCCAGCACGTAGGGTCCCAGCACGGTGACGCCACGGGTCAGCTGGCTCAGCTCCCAGTACAGCCGCTCTCTGTCCAGCCCAGGGCCTTCGGGGTCAGGGCGGTGAGCACAAATGACGTCCACTCTGGTGGCTGTCTCTTCCCTCTCAGGGCTGGGTGTGAAGGGCCACACGGTTGGTCCAGCTCTCTCTGCACCATTCGTCCTCCCCTCCCTCTTTCTGCCCCCCCGAGACAGAGGTGGGGGCACTCTAGTTAACAACGAATCTGCTGCCTCAGGAAGATGACCTCCACAAACAAATAACTAGGAAGCCACCAGACTCCAGGCCCCTGCGGGCCCAGGAGCACGCCGTGTGTGACAGACAGAGAGGGCACTACCGAGAGGGCGAACTATCGAGAAGCCAAACGAAGCCAGGACAGCCAAGTCCTGTCACAGGTCCTGGCGGACATGAGGTGCTTCGAGCCAGGCCGTAATGAGTGGCTGTGGCCCCAGGACAGATGACCACTGCACGGCCAGTGAGTGCCACTTTCCTTCAGGGAGCTGGAGTTTTCAAATGGTGGGATCAGAAGGCTGAAGCCACCCTCTCTAGACAGTAAAAACCAGCGGGACTGGGATAGTTTTAAAGCAACTCAAGGGACTAGATGGCTGGCGAGAGCTCTGAAAGTGTGACTTGTCCAGCCTACGGCCTCCTTGCCTCAGCATCTCCAGAGGGAAAGGGCTGCCCTGCCCCAGGGCCCCGGGTAGAAGGCCTCCCACAGTGACCACCGCCATCTGCTGAAGACTAAGTGTGCGGCAGGCCCAGTGCTCGGTGCTCATGGTGCACTCGGACCCGCAGAGCTTCCCTGCGGGCTGTGTGGCTCAAGTCCCACAATTTCTATTACACCCACTAGAGTATATGTTATATAGTATACAACACCACTGTATATAATATAAGATGTAATAAACATTTGCATTTAATATATGATGATATATATTTACTTATAGTTTGTTATTGTATTATGTCTTATATATATAACTATATAGTTTATCTGTTATACCTATATCTAATTATATACATGTATATACACTAAGTAATATAAATTATGATTTTGATCATGTATATTAGGTATTATACCAGTGTTAACCCATTCCCACCCCAGGCCTGAGTGTCCAGCCGTTTCTAACCCTTCCCAGGGGAAAGTGTCCCCCTGAACTCCCAGCCATCCTTGGCAGGGCAGGCTCCCTCCGCTGAGTCTGACCCACTAGGAGCAGGCTTTCTCTCTGGAACACTGGCTTTCCTTCCCCTCTTAGATTCTCTGGGCAATTTCCTTTAGGGAGGTTGTCGGATTGGTGTTTTCCACACCCTGCAAGGTCAGGATGTGAGCAGAGGAGACAATGCAGCTTCAGGGCTAGGAGTTTGGATCTACAACCCGAAACCTGGGATTTCTGTGCAAGATGGGCACAAGCTGCTTATCCCCCTGAGCCTCTGTTTCACCTTCCGCTCCTGCTGCAACAGGCTGTTGCAATGACTGATGAGATTCAATACAAAGTAACAGCACAGTGCCCTGGGTCTTAGTAAATTTCTAGATCCTGTTGTTGTACTCTCAATGCTTAGTATCCATGGGCAGTCGTTGTTCAAAGTCGTGGAGCCCAAGGTCAGGGTCCATCCCCCTGGTGGGCTGTGTTCTTGGGGAGGGTCTCACCTGAGTGAGGCTAGTTTGCAGCCTGCGTAGAGTAATTTCAGGCTGCTGTTCTTGAACACAGACTTCAGCTATGAGAGAGGAGAGGGGAGGTGAGAAGGAACCACTGAGGGAGGCCTGGAGGAGCCAGGAAGGGCTTTGGTGAGTTAAGGCAGAGCTGGTGAGGGTACGGGCAGAAGTGGGTGGGCGGGGCTGACACTAGAGCGCGCGGGGGGGGGGGGGGGGGGGGGGAGTGGGTGGAGCTGGCGTTGGTGGGCAGGCCTCTCACCACACGTTGCAGGATCCTCTCTGTGGCGTTGAATTTCCTGGAGCCCCGGTGCCGCATGCCCTCCTCGTAGTGCAGGTTGGTGATGGTGAAGTTGAGGGTGAACGGCACCAGCAAAGGGGCCGCTGCTGCAGCGGGGGAAGGAAAAAGGAGGCGGAGCCTGAGTCCGACCTGGGCCGGACTCTCAGACAACTCTGGGGTTGGAGATTCAGCGCCTGGGTCTGAGGAAGCAGGGGTTTAAAGCATGCAGGTACGCAACCTTAGGACCTAAGACTGAAGGCTGTCTAATGAGAAAAGCAAGACACTGTTAAATGCAGTAGCGTGCACATCCATGAGAATGGCCGTTTTGTTTATAGAAAGGAAAACAACACGTGTTGCTGAGAATGTGGAGAGACTGGGACACTCGTGCATTGTTGGCGGAAACGCTGGTGGAGCTTCTGTGGGAATCAGCTCCTCAGACCGCCAACACAGGACTGCCACAGATCCTGGGGGGGGGGGGTTGGGGATCACACCCGACCTGACATTGTGTCCCCTCCGCCCAGCACAGAGCACGTGCCCAGTGATGTCTGCTAAACTAAATATTTCGGTGCTCCCAGTGCTAGGTGCTGTTGCGCACATTTCCATTTAACCTTCACAACGACCTTACAAAGTATTATTCCCACTTGTCAGGTGAGGAAACTGAGGCACTGAGAGGGTAAGTAAATTGTCCAAGATCAACATCTGGACAGATGAGGAGGGCACAGTCTCTGCTCTTGAGGAGTGCGGAGCAGAGCAGAGGGTACCCATAGCAGCTCTAGTTCCCTAAACAGCAGCTTTGCTCTGCAAGCCCCAGGCCCCAGCTTTAGGGCTTTCTAGAGGCAGCTGGGAGAGAAGTCACCTACCTGTGGAGCTGGAGAAGGGGGCTGGCACCAGCGAGGTCTTTGGGAAGAGCGTGGAGGTCACAGTGGTTGAAGAGAAATGGTCTGGAGTAAGAATGGGGATGTGAGCATGGCACGGATGACTCGGTGCATCCTCCCAGTCCAGCCCAGGCCGCTGCTGTTGGAAGTGACTGAGACAGTCAGGTTGTTTGGCTGCCTCTCCCGCCAAGGCCCTGGGGTAGGGGATCGGCTGCTGTCCATGGGGCCTGGAGTGCCTGGCCATCAGCACCCTAAGTACTCACCACTGTGGGTGGAGGCTGAGGTCCGATGGGTGTAACCTGAAATGAAAAGGGGAGGCGGCACTAGGACAGGAGCAGGGAGGGATGTCCAAGACCAAGGCTGAGGACCACAAGCCCTTACTTACCCCACACAGAGATTCAAGTCTACACAGTTCAACAGTAATGATTCAGGGGCAAGTACATCTTGTTTCTAAAGGGCTGCGAGACCAAAGACCCGGTCTCTGCCTTCGTGGGCTTGCAGTTTATTTGGGAAAGTACCTACACCACCCTTTTGTGAGCATGGGCTTGCTAACTGCTTCTCAGGGTCTAGGTGGCGTTTGAGATTGTCAGGGGGCTAGATGAAGAGACAGACTCTTGAATCTCCATTAGCTTTGGCCAGAAGGATACTGTCATTCCTCCCCCTGCAGGAAGGTTGTGTGCCTTGGGCAGGCGCACAGACCACTTCTCTGGAATGCATAGATGCCAAGGAGAGAGAAGGATTTGCACACTCGGGGGTCGATGGGGGTTCTCAAGTCATCAAAGGCGATTGCTCAGGCAGAAGACCACACATGGCAGGGTCCCGTGGCAAATGGGAGAGTCCACATGCCCTCTGGGAAACTAAAGGAACAAATACTGTATAATCCTAGTCACTATTACATGAGGTCCCTAGAGAAGTCAAATTCATGGGCACAGACGGTAGAATAGTAGTAGCCAGGGCCCGAGGGGAAAGGAAAATGGAGATTATTTTTTTAATGGATTTAGAGTTTCAGTTTTGTAAGATTAAAAGGTTAGTTACATGACAGTGTGAATATACTTCAACTATTGACCCATACGCCTGAAATGGCAAATTTATATTATGTATATTTTACCACAATTTTAAAAATTTAAACCAATTGCACATATGTGTGTGTGTATATATGTATGTATATATATGTATATATATATAATTTAAACCAATGGCATATATATGCACACACACAGAGTTTCACTCTTTTTAAAAACTCTTTCCTCTAATAGATTTATTGAAGGCAGGTCCGGTCATGGAGCTATGTGTGAGGGAGTAAGGATAGGTAGATAAAGTTAAGATAGAAATCCCATATTTCTGACAAAATAGAACTAAGAAACGGAACTTGTGTGGTCCAGAGAGGAGGGAGCTTGCTGCCTGCTAAAACAAACAAACAAAAATAACAGTAGCATCCCCAAGAGGACAACCGCACCCAGAGTACACACGAGCATAATTTACAACATCCAGAATACCACCCCAAATTATGTGACTTAAAAGAATCAGTAAAAAAATCTACCCAATCAATGAGGGGAAGACAAGTAACAGATGCAAGTGCCAAGGTGACCCAGGTGTTGGAATTAGCAGGTACAGACTTTACTGCAGCTGTTGGAACTGTGATCCATGAGGTAAAGGTAAACACACTTGAAATAAGTGTAGAGATAGACATTCTCAGCAGAGGAAGGGAAACTATTAAAAAAGAATCATATGGAAGTTGTAGAACTGAAACACACAGTATCTGAGGTTAAAAAAAAACCCACTTGATGGGCAGGATGAAGATGATAGAGGAAAGGGTGATTTTTAAAGATATAGTAACAGAAATGATCAAATCTGAAGAACAAAGAAAAAACGATTTAAAAAATGAACAGAGCCACTGAGCCACTGGCTCAGTTGGTTGGTATCACCCCACAGAGCAAAAGCTCACCGGTTCAATCCTTGGTCAGGGCACATGCCTGGGTTGTGGTTGGTCCCCGGATGGGGTACATACAAGAGGCAACCAATTGCTGTTTCTCTCTCACATCAATGTTTCTCTCCCTCTCATTCTCCCTCCCTTCCCCTCTCTCTAAAATAAATAAGTCTTTTCTAAAAAATGAACAGAGCCTTAGGGACTTGTGGGACACTGTCATTTCATTGGAGAACCAGAATGACAGAAAAAAAAGTGGTGTGGAAAAAAAGGTGAAGAAATAGTGGCTGAAACTTCCACACATTTCTTGAAAACTTACATTTTTGGATTCAGAAGCTTAGAAAATTCCAAAAGTATAAACTAAAAAAAAAAGAAAAAAACGAAAAACAAACAACAAAAACCACCAGCCCAGACACTTTCTCTAAGGTGGTCTGGGAAGGTCTTTCAGAGAAGGCGATGGTGGGCCTGAGGACTGAAAGGCAATAAGGTGTCAGGAAGAGCTCAGCTTCAGGAAGGGCTGGCATCAGGGCCAGACGGCGGTCAGGACACCAGCAGAACAGACAGACGTCTGATCTGGCCAGCATTCCCACGGTGATGGAGAGAATGAGGGGACCGGCTAAGGCTGCGTGGTTCGCAGGGACCAGACTACGCAGAGGTCCAGTTTTGTGGACCTCAGAGAGCAGTGTCTGCCCTGCAGGGCTGAGAATGGGTGATAGAGACGTGAAAGATTCTGGAGAGAATGTGGAAGTCACTGGAGCTGAGGGGAAAAAATGGGAGAAGAAATTGAGTCCGATCCTGAAAGAACGAGGGGCAGAAGCTGTTCACTGGCATTTGGGCTTCTGTCTTGACTCAGAGCAAGACCCTAGGTGGGTGAGGGGCTGCTGTGAGCCTGGGGCCGGACACTTCAAAGAGGGCGGAAGTAGCTTCTCTCCTGCAGAATGCACTCTGGGGAACAGGGGTCCACTGGGCCCTGATCGACGCTTCAGTTTTGAGTACTCACTGCTTGTGGCGGGGGTCCAGCTGCGACGGTTATAACCTGCGGGAAGGGAGGAAGAGTGAAGTCCTGTTGGATGGGTAAGATTTAGGGAAGAGGTAGGTGGCAGGCGTGGAAATACAATGCATGGACAAACTTTCTGAGGTTCATAAATGAACAATAACATCTACATTTCACTTGGTGGCCTTGTCCTTTGAAAATAATGATGAACATCATCACCATTATTATCACCAAAGTAAAAACACAATAACAGCTGCCCATATTTATTAGGAATGTTCTACGCACCAGAAATAATGCTGAACGCATTACCAGGGTAATGGGGCAAATTTACAAACTACCGTGGGTTCCAAGCCTTATCTGTGTTCTCTCAATCCATTAAGATGATTTTATCTGTGTTCTCTCACTTCTCTTTCTTCATAATATTTTATGATAGTATCATTTTATTCTTCTAGCTTAGTTTCTGGTTTTTTGGTGATGGATAACAGACAAAATTGCAGCAGCTTAAGAGAGAAGGTGAAGTGAAGCAAGATGGCGGAAAGGGAAAGCACATGTGCTGGGGGTACTGGAGAAACTTGGGGGGGGCGGGGGGTGAAAAAGGGGAGACTTGGGGGGGGCAGGTGGATGGTGGAAAACCTGGAGCACGAGAGAAGTGGGGAAAAGAAAATTTTTCGTGAGTGTTCCTCTCGGTCATGGATTGCATCTCCTGTGATGCTCTGTGAGAGAGTTGAGTAAAGACTGGACCCAAAGGGGCTCTGGGATTTTCCTGGGTTATTGTTGAGTAATCTTATTTGATTTTCAGGACCATCCTGCCTGGTATGTATGTTTATTCTATAAACAGGACATTAGTGCCTGGAGAGGTTACACGACTTGCTCAGCATCGCACAAAACAGACACCTGTCGCTCACCAAGTCCCATTCTATTAACCACTGCTTTAAGTCGGTCCCAGGTCTTCTATGGACACACAGCAGGGTGAGCTATTGTCAGGACAAATGTATGTTTCAAGCCATATGTAAAAAGAATTACCAAGCTGATATAGAGGGTAAATAACGAATCAAGCACTAGGTTAGCGTGTTAGACTAGGGTCATTCGCGCCCCTTCCTGTCCTGAGATTCGAGCTTCCTCTGTGTGAATGGTCTGCATTGTGGCCTCATGGTTAGGAACTTGGAGTTTAGACTCAATATTGGGTTCGAATCTTGACTCTGCCAATGCATTATGACTAGATTATTCTGGGCAAACGACTTCCTGTCTGAATGCATGATGACTCTCTAAAAATGTGTATTATAGCTCACAGGGTTTAGAGTCAGATTAATAGGTGATAATACAAATGAAGACCTTGGCACTATTGCTGGCACATTTGGGTGAGAACCGGCCACTATTACAGTTATTCTCGGTGTTAGCATTGCTGTTAGGGGCACTGTGGCCACCCCTCGTGGTGTGCTGGCTGAGTGTGGTATTGTTCCAGGGACAGTTTCATGAGTGTCATTCTGAGCTGGAAACGCAGAACATGGCTGTAAAGTTGTCACGATGGGAGAGGGAGGTAGAGGGAGGGCTGGATGGGCACTGCCGCCCGCTGGGGAAGGCGTAGCTGCAGGGCCTGCATCACCCACTTCTGTCTCTCAAGTCTGCGTGACCCTGTCAGGCTCTGACAGGAGGAGAAAACATTTCTTTCCAGGTGGTAAAAAAGGAAAGAAAATCGACCTCCCGTGGCGTGTAAAGCACTAAAAAATGAGCCCCCACGGAAATGCTAGGTTTGCACCAGAACTGCGAATCTCTGTATAGCAGTTTCTCAACCTCAACATTGTTGACGTTTTGGTCTAGATAATGTTTCCTGGTGGGGGGCTGCCTTGTGCGTGGTGGGATCTTTAGCAGCACCGTTAGCCTCTACCCACCAGACGTCATTAGCATTCCTCCAGTCATCACACGAAAATGTCTCTGGACATTTTTGCAGGGGACAAATGTCCCCTGCCAGCAGAATCACCTCCAGTTGAGAACTACTGGTGTAGAGACAGGGGACCATAGGAGACTCCAGCTGCAGCACAGACGCTCACCATTGACATAGAGACTGTCTCTGTCCAGGGTGTAGGTACCCAGCAGGGTGACGCCATGGGTCAGCCAACTCAGCTCCTGGTACAGCTCTTCTATGTCCAACTCAGGGCCCACGGGGTCAGGATGGTAGGTGCAGACGATGTCCACTCCAGTTGTTTCCCCATCCTTCTCAGCCCTAGGGTGGTGGTGGTGTTAGGGAAATAGGGACATTGAAAGATACGGGGGAGTCATATACTTTACTCAACTCTTTCCTTCAGATTGACCTATCCCCCCAAGTTATAGGATATTCCACGTTATTGGGTCTTGACTGGTTTCTCGGGCATGTTCTTTTCTGGGTGCTATTCATCTAGGCACCTTCCCACTTCATAAAGTGGCTGATCTGTGGGGCTTCATCCTTAGGCAACTCTACTCTCTTGCCTCTCATTCTTCTGGGGTCATTGATGACTCTACCAGTTTTATTACTGTGAGGTCTTCTCTCATTCTGTCTGGCCAAGACCTCTGCCCTGGGCTCCATCAGCTTTAGGATGTCCTTCAGATCTCTTGGATTCCAAATATATCAAATTAAGCTTATCATCATCCCTCCTAATAGCACAACCTGCTCATCCTCCCATGTTTCCATATCCATGACAGAGCCAGAGATGCAAAAGGCTTCCTGAACCTTCTGCCATCTTTTCCACCCCCGTCCAAGCAATATCCAGGTCTGGTCCAACATGTCACTGGTCTCACCTCCTGTCCCATCATCACTGCACATTTTTCCATCCTCAACTCTACCAGTGTTCAACTTAAAATAAATGATGTCACGTCAGAGCTCTGCTTAGAACTCCGTGTTTCCCCATGGTTCTGAATAAATGTGACTGATACTATGGAACACCTACTGGTTGCTCCACTTTTACATTTGCTGTCTTTTTTTTTTATCTTTACAGCAACTCTGTGAGATCAATGCTGATATGATTCCCACTTCATATTTGAGGAAACAAAGTCATAGAGATGTTAAAGAACTTCCAAAACCTCACAGGGCTGGAAACAGGATGTGACTTTATTCATCTGGACATGCAGATCATCAGTGCCCAGCCTTTTGCTGTGCAGAATACTATGAAAACTCCTTCACGTGCCTTTAACCCCAGCTCCAACCTGAAGGCTTTGAGAAGTTATCCACTTCTCAAAACTCATCACGTAATTTACCTGTCACTCGCTCAGTCACACTCCTGTGCACCCATCCGTCTGCTTGGCCGCTGCCCCAGTCAAGCAAGCTACTTCCTTCCTCCTCCTTTCTTCCTGCTTCTTTCCTTCCTTCCTCTCTTTTTTTCTTTTATTCAATTGCTATTTTCATTCCACACTGTACTCTTCAATTTCACAGAATTTCTCTCATGCACCAGGATATTTCTCACATCGGCCCCGTTACTTAAGCTACACTACCCCTTGAAATACCTCTGCCGACATTTCTTCCACTTGACTGTCAAAATGTACCTCAGGCACCACCGTCCTCAGACAGCCTCCACTCCACTCCCCAGGCTGAGCTAAAAGTCCACTCCCTGGGCTCCTATGGCTCCCATGTGACACTTTGTCATTGTACTAACCCCATTCATATGATTTGTGTGCATGTTGTTTAAGTTTATTTATTTAGTTTTTAATTTTTTTATTGTTGACACTATTACAGGTGTCCCCCATTCTCCTCATATAGTGGCTGTGGACACCTTGAGGAAAGCCCATGACTGGTTCTCTCAGTGCCTGTAGCATCTGTCACAGGGAGTTATCTGACAGTGTCTCCTTTCATGTTTGCTTAAGGAGTCAGTGCTGCATCTTCTGATCATTGAGCATGAATGCTCTGTGGATCTGCTTATGCAAATAATGGAAGACCTTTCACGGATACCTCTTTCAGGGAGCCTCCCTCTGATGCACTCAGTCAGAAGCAACGCCTTCCAAATCTGAATCCCTGAAAGACCCCCATCATTTAATGATTCTTGCTTTGTAGTTGTCATGTTCAGGTTCTCACCTCTGGGTGATCTTGCCTGTGACAATGCCCTTCATATGTGTTAGGAAAGACAGTCTTACCTGAGCTGGGCCAGTTTGCAGCCAGAATACAGTGGGCCGATGCTGGTGTTCTTGAACAAATGACCAAGCTGGAGAGGAGGGAGAGGGAGGTAAGCTGAAGATGCTGGGTGGGACGAGAACGAGGAAGGCTGGATTAGGCATCAATGGGCTCTTACCAGGTGATTCAAAACCCTCTCAGTGGAGTTGAACTTCGCAGATCCTGGGCGCCTCATGTCTGGGGTGTAGAGCATGTTGGTGATGGTGAAAATGAGGGTGAAAGGCACTGGGGCTGGGCCCACATCTGCAGCTGGAGGGAAGGAGAAAGGAAACCCATTACAACTTTAGGCCTGAGCTGTATATGGGGGAACCGTTATCTCTCAGTCCACAGAGTCCAGTTGTTGAGGCCTGAGCGGTCCCAGTGGAGTGCCCTCCCTCCACAGCCAGCTGAGGGGGAGGAGGGACCTCCGTGCTAGACGTGTGACATCAACTCCAAGGGGAGCCTCAGCCCTCACATCCCAGAGTGTTCAAAGGCCGACAAGTTGTGGGCATTTGGGTGGGAAGGGGAGGTGCGGAGATTTTTTGTGCTCAGCCTTGGGCCACAAAGACTTGAGCAGTCTAGGAATCCAAATCACACTGATTGCCATGAAGGAAATGGTGTTCTGAGCAAGCGCACACTGAGCTGAGATTAGACAACAAGGAGGAACCAGGCACACCGAGTTCCAGGAACAGTAAGTGCAAAAGCCCTGAGGATGGAAGGATGTTTGGGCAGGGAAAGAAATGAGACTGCTGTGGCCAGAGAGTAGGGAGTGAGGGAGAGAATGAGACAGTTGCGCTGGGCGGGGGGGCACCACAATCCAGATCGCGCAGAAATCCATCAGCCACGGAATGATGAGAGGTGAAGCCCAACGGACTCAGAGGTTCGATTCCTACCTGTAGAGCTGGGGGTGGGGCTCACAGATGCTGCGGGTCCTGGAGAGAACGTGGAGGTCACCAGGGCTGAAAGAAAATACAGTATGAATAAAAATTGTTGAGCCCTATCATAAAGCACTGAGAGGGTAGAGCTGTTCATGGAACTTGCATCTTTCATCTGAGGCTTCTGGTAGGCTGCACCTGCTCAGGGGCTAACCACCTGGAGTATGGGGTACAGTCCTCTTTTGGGGGATGAGGTTTGGGGAGGAAGGGTCCCAAAGACATAAGGACATCGAAGCCCTCGTTACTCACTGCTAGTGGTGGGGATCCAGTCTCGATGGTTGTAACCTGCAGAGAGGCACAGAGGAAGGGTGAGAGGGTGAGAGGAGGTTAAGAAGCGGGTGGGGGTAGAAATAAAAACACGAGCACACAACCCCGTCCCCCCCGAGGACTTTTTCTGAGACACATCAGTCAATAACAACAGCACTCTTTATGAGTTAACAGTAGATCTTTATGAGTTAACTGACTCATACTGTGCTAATGATAATTTCATCCTCGTTACCATTACCCAGAGAGACAATAATGATCTTGTGAGGGTTGATTAAGTGCCTGGAAGAACAGCAAACTTATCAAATAAATAATAGGGACAACAATTTTATATGAGAGTTTCCAGCCTTATTTGTGTTCCCTTTATCTGTTAACTATAGTTTTATCTTTGAGTTTTTCCCACTACCCAACTCTCCAAAGACAGCCTGATCTGTGATGATGTAGTTCTCAGACTTCTGTAATGTTGAATCGAGATAATAAAGGAGAAAGATGGAAATGGGGAAAGAGAGAGAGAGGGAGAAAGAGAGAGGAGGGCTTGTGGAAGGAAGAAAGACTGGATATCATTCAGAGACTATAAAGTTGAAAAATAAGAAGAAAAAGAGGATCTTAATAAGTATGGTTCTGGAATACAAACTGGATCCTCTCCGATGCACTGGAAGTAATGCAAGCAAAACTTTGACTTATTTTATATTTGATGATCTGACTGGGTGTCTTAAAATGGAACTTACCTCTGAGACTGGGCCAAGTAGAGCCATGTGACTTACTTGGGTTACTCAGGTTTTATCTCTCTGGACTCTCACAATAATCTTAGGTGGCTTTTCTTCAAAAAAAAAAAAAATCCCATCTGGAAAAGGATGTTGGAATTGACAGAGGTCTCACGGCCCAGGGCTACACAGTAAGACAAAGGCCGGGCCAGGGCTTGATTAAATCAAGATCAGTAATCCACCAAAGCCCCCACTGGTGATGACCACTTCTAAGTAAACTCCAGGGACTCATAAAATCCAATACAAGTTTTCATCCGGGTAATAAGAAAATAACAGGGACAAAATTAATCCAGCTTTAGATCAAATTGTTATATTGGAGGCCCACTGGTCTGCCTCTCCATCCTGAGGTTTGAGGCTTGTTCTTGCCAGGCTGGTCTGCAGTGTAGCCTAGAAGGTAGGCCTGGGCCAACTGGGCCTGGGGTCCAGAGCCAGTTTAGGGTTCGATTCCTGACAGTACTGCTTACATTAATTATCGGATCTTGGGAAAGTGGATTCCCCTCCCTGAGCCTCGTTTTCTCCTCTGTAAAATACACACGATACCTTCAAGAGTGTCGGGCAGGGTTAGTAATACACAGTGTGTATAGCATTCTGGGTCATAGGAATCCCTCAGGAAACACCAGCCTGTAGTGTTGGTGGTGTTGTAGGTGTTTTTGTGGGTGTTGCTACTAAGAGTGTGTTTGCAAAGGAATTTATTGCCAGAAGCAGTACTAACAATTTGCCGTTTGTGGGTCAGGTGGGGTGCAGTTCCAGCTGACCCTTGGAGAATGGGGGAGGACATGAGCTGTCCTAAGGAGGTGAAGGGGGCAGACTGGTCACTGCACTGGGAACCCATCGGCTCTTGTGTTGACTGCCATGGGCTTGCTCTACCCTCTTCCTTCCTTGATGTGTGCCCGCTCCTTTCGGGTTTCTGTGAATGATCACTGGGGTGAAGAAGACTAAAGGCAACTTTTATTTCCAGGCCTTAAAAGGTGCCTTTTAGCTGTTACAAAGGGAGACACCTGAGCCGCCCATGGAAATTCTGGGGGTGCAGAGAAACCTGGGTACATAGAGTAATGCACTTCAAGGAGACCCCATCTGGGAGCAGGAGGAGGTCCCACCTGCAGCAGGGCGCCTCACCACTGACGAAGAGACTATTCCTGTCCAGGGCGTAGGGGCCCAGGCGCGTGACGCTGCCGGTCTGCCGGCTCAGCTCCCAGTACAGCCGCTCTCTGTCCAGCCCGGAGCCAGTGGGACCCGGATGGTGGGTGCAGACCACATCCACTGTGGTGCCTGTTCCCTCTTTTTCAGCCCTGGGGAAGGAGGGACACAGTAATCGAGACATACGGGTGGTGAGGACGCTGGACCACGCTCTCCTTCAGCGGCACTCCTGAGTGTTCACATCAGCACTCTTCCCTGGGTTTCACACGCTTTCTAAAGCACATCTTGTTCTCTCTGATGGGAGAATCCAGACCCCTCAGCTCCTTACATGCAGAGTTTTACAGGTTACTACAGCTAGGAGTAGATAATGTTCTTCTCATCCTCGTTATCTTTTTATTAATTGGTTGAAGCTCATTGTTTCAACTATCAACCCCCCGGCACTCCCTGTTCATTTGAGAAGGTAAATGCAGATGGTGTCTCTTTAGTAGTAGCTTAGTCCTGGTTGGGTTGTGGGGGTGGAATTGTGGAGCCCCCAGGGGAAAAACCCTGAGGATTCTGGCACCATGCAGCCTGTGGAAGTGAAAGCAAGAGGACTGGAGACTTTGGGGAAGGCACCTGTGTGGCCAACAGTGACTCTGAGCAATAACCATCACTGAACCCGAGAGTTGGGACTTTTATCTTAAGGTGGCAGATCTCAAGGCTGAGGTCAGCCCTTTGGGAATACGTTTTGAGCAGGCAGTCAAATTTGGAGGAAAACAAGGAAAATGAGTTAAGAAGCAACACCGTCAACTGGTTCAAAAATTACTTTGTCCTGAATTTAAGCTGACCCTGAAGTGTTCCGTTCAAAGTGGAGGCTTTACAGGTAGGAAGAAGGAACCTCTTCCTCCCTTGCCTGTGAGTTCTGCTTGCTGTGATCCACGCCAGTCAAAGTGTTCCCATCTCATTAACATACCCCATAGCGTCACGCAGCAGTTCCCAAAGTGTGGTCCGGGGACCTCTGGTGTTCCCAAAACTATTACAGGGAGTCCACTTGGTAAGGACTACTTTCATAATAATCCTAAGACATTATTTTCACATTCATTGTCTCAAAAGCATACAGTGACATTTTTTCCCCAGGTGCTGTGAGGTGAAATGTTGTAAAACCTTAAATGCAGAGGCAGATGTCTTGGTATCTTCTACTAAGCCAGACACTAAAAAAAATTGCAAAAATGTACAATGGCCCTTTTCTCATTGTGCTTCTTTGGGGGTGGGGTGGAGTTATGGCTGTTGTTTATAAAAATATGTCACATATGTTAACATGTGACAGGTTTATTATTTTTAATGAGTAAACGTATACATTTTTTGTTTTAATTTCTAACAAAGTTAATATGGGCAGATATAGCCCCAAGTCCAAAGGCTGGCATTGTGCTTAAAAGAAATAATTCTAACCCCAGGTTCAGATTCTAGCTCCTTTACTTAAGCAAGTCACTTGACTACTCTCAGGTCAGGTAATAATACTGTCGTGAGGATGAAGTGAGTGAAAACGTGTAAATCACCTAGACTGATTGGATGGCAGGTACTATGAGCAATATTACTACTGATTTCCCCATATTGTGGAGAGATGGGGGCAGGTACAGTGGGCCCCACTTGCTGGAAGACACTCTGATGCACAAAATACCAGGGATCTCTCCCCATGCAGTGAGGTGGGTAGAGGACCCGCTCTCTGGCAGGATGACTTGGTATATCAAGTCATGATGGCTGGATGGAGGAACCCACAGTGAGCCCATAGGGTCATCAAGTGTAAGGAAAGGGGCCTGAGCCTGTGGACCTCAGAGACACCGAGTGTGGATGTAGGCAGAGAAGGGAAGACAGGACATTTGTGCAGAGCTCAGGTCCATTTGAGAGTTTTAAGATTGCAGTGTATCCTGCTGGTCCTCAACTTTTGATTTGTCTCTCCCCTTGCTTCAGTAAGACTTTCTTTGGGAAATCTCACCCAGTTTCCGGGGAATAAACTGCAGAGCTGCAGTGTCCACAGTTTGTCTCCAGCAGGGTACATATGAGCTGGGACCGGGAGAGTGTCAAGGACTCTGGGAACCCAGTTGGTAACCGTGCTACACTAGCTGGAACTATGAGATCCCATTAATGGAGCACTCACAATGGGGCAGGCATTGTGATGAAGGATGAGCAGCTCCAAGAGTAAGGCACTGTTATTATCACCATTTTATAGATAGTGTGATTGGAGATCAGACAGGTTATGAGACCTGTCCGAAGTTACACAGGTAGCAAATGGAAGAGCAGGGGTTCAAACTCAGGCACTTTGGATACACAATGTTGCATTGCCTCTCAGCAAAGGCCCAAGTAGCTGTGATGGACCAGGGTATGGAGGGCCAAGAGAAAAGAGAAGTAGGATTTCTTAGGCATTGGGAACTGCCCTGCCTGGTTTAAGAAGCTGTAATCTCCTGTGGCTAAGGCTGAGTAAATGACCTTGGGACCATACGCCACTTAGGAGACAAATCTTATCTTCCTGGTAGGGGCACCACCTCTGCCCCCTTTCTCTTCACCCTGCTTGGCACCAAGCGGATGATTGGTTAGCCAATGACAGGTAAGATTCCAAAAAAGAGGGGTGACCTAAGACAGGCATGGTCATGAAGGGGCCCTCAGGGAAGGACTTGGGGGGCTATAGAAAAAGGGGGTGATAGAGCCTTGCCCCTCGGCTTTGACATAGCCTGAGTCCTCATTGTGTGCGAGAAGTCTCCTAATCTCTTGGCTGCCTTATTTTGCCTGCCTAACTTAAGCCTGCAGCAATGCTGGAGGTGGGTGCGGCCCGGTGCTGGAAAGGGTGGATTCCCTAGGGTGATCAGGCCTAAGAAAGAATGCCTAAAATCCTATGAAACCTACTTTGCTAATACCTTCAATTTAAATGATAAGGGTCCAAGCAGGAAGTGAGTTTGTTCCCCAAAGTGGAACAAACTCTTATGGCCCTTTAACTATCTAACCCTGACTCAGAATAAGCCCCCAGGATTCTTCGAATGTTATCTCTTGTTTAATCATTTCTGCCTGACAATATTGATGAGCTTTACATATATGCCCTGTATTTCTGTGGAAAATGAACCCAGTAAAAGCTTGTCAAGGCAAGGTTAGACGTGCTCTCCCCCTTGAGAGAGAATCTGAGCTGTTCCTTTTCCTTCACAGGTAGTCCATGTGAATTTGTCATGGCATCCATAATGCCATGGACCCCAGGAGCCAGGATCCGCCCCACGTAGGTGCTTTAGAGGAGGTCTCACCTGAGCGAGGCCAGTCTGCAGCCAGCATAGAGGGAACTGATGCTGCTGTTCTTGAACAAGGGCCCCAGCTGGGAAGGAATGAGAGGGAGATGAGCAGGAGGGACCAAGACATCAAGGTGCGATGGGGTGCTAGTGGGGTGCTCTCACCAGTTGCTGCAGGCGTCTCTCGGTGGCATTGAATATCTTAGAGCCCAAGTTTCCCATGTCCTCCCTGTAGTACAGGTTGGTGATGGTGAAGTTGACAATAAAAGACATCAGCAAAGGAATGGTAGCTGCGGTGAAGAGGGAGAGTAAAGTGAGGCTGGCCTGAGTCAGGCCTGGCACACGAGGTGGGAGGGAGGCCCTGAGGACATGCCTTCCTTCGCTCCAGTGACGAGTGGGGCCTGGCCTGGGCTGTCCTCCTTGAGACACCTTGTATAGAGTCGCTGTCCAATACCCCCTCACACAGGGTGACTAACCATCCCAGTGTCCCCAGGACCATGTGGGTTTCTGGAATGCAGGCTCTCAGTTTAGAAGTGTGACTGTCCTGGGGAAACTCAGAGGCATTGATCAGCCTATGCCTACTTCTCCTTCTCTCTTACCATTTCAGCACAAGCCAGCACCTGGATCTCTTTGTCCTGGGGAAATTATCAGGCCTGGCAGTGACAGGTGGGAGCTGGAGGGTTAAATGCCCCAGATCCCTCACCCTCACACGGGATAACTCTAAGGTGTGTCTGGTATGCTTCCCCCTTCCAGCTTTCAGGACAGGTTTCTGTTGTTGAACCTGCCCCATACAGTGGGTGACCCAACTGTTCCTCTTTAGTGCAGCAGGCCCTGCTAATGTGTCAATAGGCTCTGCAACTTGAAGGGAAGCAAAACAAAACCAATTTCACAATAGACTAATTGATATAAAGAAGAGTTAAGTTCATACGATATATCACCACATGTTATAATAAAAATTGGTGTTACTTGGGGACCTGCTGTATACACCCCAAAGAATTGAAACAGGGACTCAGATGGATACTTGTACATCCGTGTCCATAGCAGCATAAGATGCCACAGTCAAAGGTGGAAAAAACCTGGTTTCCCATCAGCAGGTGAATGAACAGATAAAATGTGGTCTATCTACACAATGGAATATTATTTATCCATAAACAGGAATGAAGTTCTGGTACAAGCTACAGCACAGAGGAATCGTGAAAACATCATGCTAACTAAGATAAGCAAGATACAAAAGCGCAGAGATACTGTATAATTTCTGTCGTGTGAGATATCTGCAACAGGGAAATCCACAGAGACAGTGACCAGACTGGAGGCTACTGGGGACTGGGGGTGGAGTATAGAAAGGGGGTCATTGCCTGATGGGTATACAGGTTCTGTTTGGGTGATAAAAATGTTGCAGAAATAGACAGTGGTGATGGTCACACAATAGTGTGGATGTAATTAATGCCACCAAAATGTATATGCAATGGTTAAACTATATAGGATAACTAGACAGAGGAAGAAAGTTATTCTTACTCGTTCCTGAAGTCACACTCGCATAGGCTGACATGGACATGTTGGGTGTGGTCGCAGGGACAAAGGAACTTCCGGCCAGTGTACTGGAAGTGGCTGTCGTCTTGGCCATGGTGGGGCCTGAATCAGAAGCAGCTAATTTAGTGGACTCAAGAGTTGTAGTTTTCAGGGTGGTGGTTGGACTTGATCCTTCGTGACTGATTTTAGATGTAATCAAGGTCATAGTGCCATCTGTTGCAGTCTGGGAAAACTCTGGGGGTCCAGCTGAGATTGCAGGTGGTGAGGTTTGTGTGCTCCAGGAAGCTACAGTGTAAGACTCGCCAGTGGTGGCAGGGCTGCTGCCAGGCTCCAGAACACCAGGGGAAGCAGGCACGGCTGGAATGACTGTGCTGACCACTGATGCAGGGCTGGTGGCTGGGAAGCCTGTGGTCTCTGATAAACAACAGAAAAGAGTTGAGGCTGAAATAGTTGTACTGTGGTCTGTCTCAGGACGGGAGGGGAGGAGGACTGTTCCAACAGAAACATGGAGTGAGGCGGTTGCAGGCAGATTGATCCTGCTGGCCTCATTCACAACTGTGGTGAAAAGAAAGGATGCTGTTTTTCATGGACTGAGAAAAACTGTCTCGGTGGGAAATACCCCACTACCCTCCCACTCACAGCACGTATATGGAGAGGCTGTGATATCTACTAAACAAGAAAAAATAGCCCAAACAAAAGGACTGGTGATTCCCTCTGCAAAGGGGTAAAGAAAAAAGGAGGCTTTAGTCACGAGTTCACCAGAAGTAGAACTTAGAGTGGGAATAGCCATGCTGAAATCTACCTCAGAAATAGAGACCTGAAACATAACCTTACCTGGCACTTCAGAAGAGACTGTCAGAGTTGGAATAGAAGAATTGGCTTCAGGCCTGAGGTCAGTGGCCACTGAGGATGTGGGTTCTGATTCACCATGAAAAACAGTGGATGTTGTTTGAGGAAGTGTTAGGCTGGTCTCTGTCAAATAGGTGACCATAAACACTGTTGTCTCTGGATCACGAGGGGACAGAGTCAGAGGTGGAACAGCAGACCTTGCTTCCGAGTCAGACTGGGTGGCCCATGAGGCCGTGGTCTTCAGGGCCGAGGTCACCACCCCTGGTACCACAGTCTTGACGGTCCTCCCTGGAAGAGTTGAAACAGCTTCCACAGCAGCACCAGTGGCCATCGAGGGTGCGCTGTCTGATGCACTGCTGGACACACTGGAAGTGCCTTTGGGAAAAGATGGGCTGGTGTCTGAGGACTGGGTGACCAAAGAGACGCTTGCACCTGGATCCTCGGGGGATGCAGTCAGGGTTGCCGAACAGCTGAACTGGCTTCTGTGGTGTCTAGTTCATGTGGGAAATCGGTCAGCGTTGGAAAAGGTGGAGTGGTCTCTGCCCCAGAACTGGTGGCGACTGAGCTCGGTGCTCCTGAAACATCAGGGGAGTCCGTCTGAGTTGGCTTGGGCTGACAGAGTCCGGGCTGCAGGGTGAGTCACCCCTGAGGCTGTGGTGGCCAGTTCATGAGGAGAAAGAGTCAGAGGTGGAGTAACCGCACTGGCAACTGTCTCAGAACTAGGAACCTGTGAGGTCAGCAGCCCTGGTGCCCCAGACGACACAGGTGTATTGGGACCAGCTGGACTGGCGCCTGTGCCAAGACTGGGGACTGTTGGGGTAGTGCTGTCCGAGACACTGTGGGAAGCACTGCTGCCTGCCCTGGGGACAGTTGAGCTGGGCTCTGCAGGACGGGTGACTGAGGAGATCTTTGGATCTGATTCCTCAGTGATAAGAGTCCCAGTTGAAAAAGTCGTACCTCCTTCCTTCCCAGAACTAGTGACCGGGGAGGTGGCCATGGTGAGCACATGAAACGGGACAGTCACCGTTGGAAGGGCTGAACTGGCTTCTGCCTCGGGACTGCTGCTGCCTGTTGAAGATATGCTGTCTGATTCACTGTGGGAAACTTCAAACGGTGTTTGGGAAGCAACGAGGTCAGTCTCTGAGGGACGGGTGACCAGGGACACTGTTGTGCCTGGCTCAGGAGGGGACAGAGTCAGAGTTGGATCAGCTGACCTTGCTTCCGTGTCAAACTGGGTGGCCCATGAGGCCGTGGTCTTCAGGTGAAGTTGGGAAGCAGTCAAAGTTGCAGCAGTTGTGCCAGTCTCTACCCCAGAACTGGTGGCCCGGGAGGTCACCACCCCTGGTGCAACAGTTTTGACAGTCTTACCGGGAAGAGCTGAACTGGCTTCTGCCCCAGGACTACTGGCCATCGAGGGTGCACTGTCTGACTCACTGTGGGACACACTGGAAGTGCTTTTGGACAAAAATGTGCTGGACTCTGCATGACGGGCGACCAAAGAGACTGTCGTATCTGACCCATGCAGGGACTCGGTGCGAGTTGAGAAAGTCCTGTGGCCTTGTGTCCCAGAACTGGTGACCGGGGAGGAGCCCGTGGTGAGTACATCAAGTGGGAGAGTCACTGCTGGAAGGGCTGAACTGGCTTCTCTTCCAGAACTGGTGGCCGTTGAAGATATGCTGTCTAACTCACCAGGGGGAAAAGTTGGCGTCTTTCTGGAAACCGAGGAGCTGGTCTTTGCCGAGTGGACCCGTGAGGCTGTGGTGTCTGGCTCATGAGAAGAAACAGTCACAGTTGGAACAATGGAACTGGCTTCTGCTGCAGGATGGGTGCCCCACGAGGCTGCTGTCTCTGGTTCAGGTGTGGAATCGGTCAGAGTTGGAAGAGTTGTAGCAGTCTCTGCCCTAGAACTGCTTACCTGTGAGAAGTGCACCCCTGATACAGCAGGGGAAAGGGCCAAAGTGGAAATGATTGAAGTGGTCTGTGCCCCAGGTCGGGAAACCGAGGAGACTGTTGCACCTGCCTCAGGAGGGGACTCGGTCAGAGTTGGAACAGCTGACCTGGCTTCCGTTTCCAAGTGCGTGGCCCAGGAGGCTGTGGTCTCCGGATGACCTTGGTCGGTGGTCAAAGTTGAAGCAGTGGTGGTGGTCTCTGCCCCAGAACTAGTGACCCGTGAGGTCACCACCCCTGGTACCACAGTCTTGACGGTCCTCCCTGGAAGAGTTGAAACAGCTTCCACAGCAGCACCAGTGGCCATCGAGGGTGCGCTGTCTGATGCACTGCTGGACACACTGGAAGTGCCTTTGGGAAAAGATGGGCTGGTGTCTGAGGACTGGGTGACCAAAGAGACGCTTGCACCTGGATCCTCGGGGGATGCAGTCAGGGTTGGAACAGCTGAACTGGCTTCTGTGGTGTCTAGTTCATGTGGGAAATCGGTCAGCGTTGGAAAAGGTGGAGTGGTCTCTGCCCCAGAACTGGTGGCGACTGAGCTCGGTGCTCCTGAAACATCAGGGGAGTCCGTCTGAGTTGGTTGGGCTGACAGAGTCCCGGCTGCAGGGTGAGTCACCCCTGAGGCTGTGGTGGCGGGTTCATGAGGAGAAAGAGTCAGAGGTGGAGTAACCCCACTGGCAACTGTCTCAGAACTAGGAACCTGTGAGGTCAGCAGCCCTGGTGCCCCAGACGACACAGGTGTATTGGGACCCGCTGGACTGGCGCCTGTGCCAAGACTGGGGACTGTTGGGGTAGTGCTGTCCGAGACACTGTGGGAAGCACTGCTGCCCAACCTGGGGACAGTTGAGCTGGGCTCTGCAGGACGGGTGACTGAGGAGATCTTTGGATCTGATTCCTCAGTGTTAAGAGTCCCAGTTGAAAAAGTCGTACCTCCTTCCTTCCCAGAACTAGTGACCGGGGAGGTGGCCATGGTGAGCACATGAAACGGGACAGTCACCGTTGGAAGGGCTGAACTGGCTTCTGCCTCGGGACTGCTGCTGCCTGTTGAAGATATGCTGTCTGATTCACTGTGGGAAACTTCAAACGGTGTTTGGGAAGCAACGAGGTCAGTCTCTGAGGGACGGGTGACCAGGGACACTGTTGTGCCTGGCTCAGGAGGGGACAGAGTCAGAGTTGGATCAGCTGACCTTGCTTCCGTGTCAAACTGGGTGGCCCATGAGGCCGTGGTCTTCAGGTGAAGTTGGGAAGCAGTCAAAGTTGCAGCAGTTGTGCCAGTCTCTATCCCAGAACTGGTGGCCCGGGAGGTCACCAGCCCTGGTGCAACAGTTTTGACAGTCTTACCGGGAAGAGCTGAACTGGCTTCTGCCCCAGGACTACTGGCCATCGAGGGTGCACTGTCTGACTCACTGTGGGACACACTGGAAGTGCTTTTGGACAAAAATGTGCTGGACTCTGCATGACGGGTGACCAAAGAGACTGTCGTATCTGACTCATGCAGGGACTCGGTGCCAGTTGAGAAAGTCCTGTGGCCTTGTGTCCCAGAACTGGTGACCGGGGAGGAGCCCGTGGTGAGTACATCAAGTGGGAGAGTCACTGCTGGAAGGGCTGAACTGGCTTCTGTTCCAGAACTGGTGGCCGTTGAAGATATGCTGTCTAACTCACCAGGGGGGAAAAGTTGGCGTCTTTCTGGAATCCGAGGAGCTGGTCTTTGCCGAGTGGACCCGTGAGGCTGTGGTGTCTGGCTCAGGAGAAGAAACAGTCACAGTTGGAACAATGGAACTGGCTTCTGCTGCAGGATGGGTGCCCCACGAGGCTGCTGTCTCTGGTTCAGGTGTGGAATCGGTCAGAGTTGGAAGAGTTGTAGCAGTCTCTGCCCTAGAACTGCTTACCTGTGAGAAGTGCACCCCTGATACAGCAGGGGAAAGGGCCAAAGTGGAAATGATTGAAGTGGTCTGTGCCCCAGGTCGGGAAACCGAGGAGACTGTTGCACCTGCCTCAGGAGGGGACTCGGTCAGAGTTGGAACAGCTGACCTGGCTTCCGTTTCCAAGTGCGTGGCCCAGGAGGCTGTGGTCTCCGGATGACCTTGGTCGGTGGTCAAAGTTGAAGCAGTGGTGGTGGTCTCTGCCCCCAGAACTAGTGACCCGTGAGGTCACCACCCCTGGTACCACAGTCTTGACGGTCCTCCCTGGAAGAGTTGAAACAGCTTCCACAGCAGCACCAGTGGCCATCGAGGGTGCGCTGTCTGATGCACTGCTGGACACACTGGAAGTGCCTTTGGGAAAAGATGGGCTGGTGTCTGAGGACTGGGTGACCAAAGAGACGCTTGCACCTGGATCCTCGGGGGATGCAGTCAGGGTTGGAACAGCTGAACTGGCTTCTGTGGTGTCTAGTTCATGTGGGAAATCGGTCAGCGTTGGAAAAGGTGGAGTGGTCTCTGCCCCAGAACTGGTGGTGACTGAGCTCGGTGCTCCTGAAACATCAGGGGAGTCCGTCTGAGTTGGTTGGGCTGACAGAGTCCCGGCTGCAGGGTGAGTCACCCCTGAGGCTGTGGTGTCCAGTTCATGAGGAGAAAGAGTCAGAGGTGGAGTAACCCCACTGGCAACTGTCTCAGAACTAGGAACCTGTGAGGTCAGCAGCCCTGGTGCCCCAGACGACACAGGTGTATTGGGACCAGCTGGACTGGCGCCTGTGCCAAGACTGGGGACTGTTGGGGCAGTGCTGTCCGAGACTCTGTGGGAAGCACTGCTGCCCAACCTGGGGACAGTTGAGCTGGGCTCTGCAGGACGGGTGACTGAGGAGATCTTTGGATCTGATTCCTCAGTGATAAGAGTCCCAGTTGAAAAAGTCGTACCTCCTTCCTTCCCAGAACTAGTGACCGGGGAGGTGGCCATGGTGAGCACATGAAACGGGACAGTCACCGTTGGAAGGGCTGAACTGGCTTCTGCCTCGGGACTGCTGCTGCCTGTTGAAGATATGCTGTCTGATTCACTGTGGGAAACTTCAAACGGTGTTTGGGAAGCAACGAGGTCAGTCTCTGAGGGACGGGTGACCAGGGACACTGTTGTGCCTGGCTCAGGAGGGGACAGAGTCAGAGTTGGATCAGCTGACCTTGCTTCCGTGTCAAACTGGGTGGCCCATGAGGCCGTGGTCTTCAGGTGAAGTTGGGAAGCAGTCAAAGTTGCAGCAGTTGTGCCAGTCTCTACCCCAGAACTGGTGGCCCGGGAGGTCACCACCCCTGGTGCAACAGTTTTGACAGTCTTACCGGGAAGAGCTGAACTGGCTTCTGCCCCAGGACTACTGGCCATCGAGGGTGCACTGTCTGACTCACTGTGGGACACACTGGAAGTGCTTTTGGACAAAAATGTGCTGGACTCTGCATGACGGGTGACCAAAGAGACTGTCGTATCTGACTCATGCAGGGACTCGGTGCCAGTTGAGAAAGTCCTGTGGCCTTGTGTCCCAGAACTGGTGACCGGGGAGGAGCCCGTGGTGAGTACATCAAGTGGGAGAGTCACTGCTGGAAGGGCTGAACTGGCTTCTCTTCCAGAACTGGTGGCCGTTGAAGATATGCTGTCTAACTCACCAGGGGGAAAAGTTGGCTTCTTTCTGGAAACCGAGGAGCTGGTCTTTGCCGAGTGGACCCGTGAGGCTGTGGTGTCTGGCTCATGAGAAGAAACAGTCACAGTTGGAACAATGGAACTGGCTTCTGCTGCAGGATGGGTGCCCCACGAGGCTGCTGTCTCTGGTTCAGGTGTGGAATCGGTCAGAGTTGGAAGAGTTGTAGCAGTCTCTGCCCTAGAACTGCTTACCTGTGAGAAGTGCACCCCCTGATACAGCAGGGGAAAGGGCCAAAGTGGAAATGATTGAAGTGGTCTGTGCCCCAGGTCGGGAAACCGAGGAGACTGTTGCACCTGCCTCAGGAGGGGACTCGGTCAGAGTTGGAACAGCTGACCTGGCTTCCGTTTCCAAGTGCGTGGCCCAGGAGGCTCTGGTCTCCGGATGACCTTGGTGAGTGGTTAAAGTTGAAGCAGTGGTGGTGGTCTCTGCCCCAGAACTAGTGACCCGTGAGGTCACCACCCCTGGTACCACAGTCTTGACGGTCCTCCCTGGAAGAGTTGAAACAGCTTCCACAGCAGCACCAGTGGCCATCGAGGGTGCGCTGTCTGATGCACTGCTGGACACACTGGAAGTGCCTTTGGGAAAAGATGGGCTGGTGTCTGAGGACTGGGTGACCAAAGAGACGCTTGCACCTGGATCCTCGGGGGATGCAGTCAGGGTTGGAACAGCTGAACTGGCTTCTGTGGTGTCTAGTTCATGTGGGAAATCGGTCAGCGTTGGAAAAGGTGGAGTGGTCTCTGCCCCAGAACTGGTGGCGACTGAGCTCGGTGCTCCTGAAACATCAGGGGGAGTCCGTCTGAGTTGGTTGGGCTGACAGAGTCCCGGCTGCAGGGTGAGTCACCCCTGAGGCTGTGGTGTCCAGTTCATGAGGAGAAAGAGTCAGAGGTGGAGTAACCCCACTGGCAACTGTCTCAGAACTAGGAACCTGTGAGGTCAGCAGCCCTGGTGCCCCAGACGACACAGGTGTATTGGGACCCGCTGGACTGGCGCCTGTGCCAAGACTGGGGACTGTTGGGGTAGTGCTGTCCGAGACACTGTGGGAAGCACTGCTGCCCAACCTGGGGACAGTTGAGCTGGGCTCTGCAGGACGGGTGACTGAGGAGATCTTTGGATCTGATTCCTCAGTGTTAAGAGTCCCAGTTGAAAAAGTCGTACCTCCTTCCTTCCCAGAACTAGTGACCGGGGGAGGTGGCCATGGTGAGCACATGAAACGGGACAGTCACCGTTGGAAGGGCTGAACTGGCTTCTGCCTCGGGACTGCTGCTGCCTGTTGAAGATATGCTGTCTGATTCACTGTGGGAAACTTCAAACGGTGTTTGGGAAGCAACGAGGTCAGTCTCTGAGGGACGGGTGACCAGGGACACTGTTGTGCCTGGCTCAGGAGGGGACAGAGTCAGAGTTGGATCAGCTGACCTTGCTTCCGTGTCAAACTGGGTGGCCCATGAGGCCGTGGTCTTCAGGTGAAGTTGGGAAGCAGTCAAAGTTGCAGCAGTTGTGCCAGTCTCTACCCCAGAACTGGTGGCCCGGGAGGTCACCACCCCTGGTGCAACAGTTTTGACAGTCTTACCGGGAAGAGCTGAACTGGCTTCTGCCCCAGGACTACTGGCCATCGAGGGTGCACTGTCTGACTCACTGTGGGACACACTGGAAGTGCTTTTGGACAAAAATGTGCTGGACTCTGCATGACGGGTGACCAAAGAGACTGTCGTATCTGACTCATGCAGGGACTCGGTGCCAGTTGAGAAAGTCCTGTGGCCTTGTGTCCCAGAACTGGTGACCGGGGAGGAGCCCGTGGTGAGTACATCAAGTGGGAGAGTCACTGCTGGAAGGGCTGAACTGGCTTCTCTTCCAGAACTGGTGGCCGTTGAAGATATGCTGTCTAACTCACCAGGGGGAAAAGTTGGCGTCTTTCTGGAATCCGAGGAGCTGGTCTTTGCCGAGTGGACCCGTGAGGCTGTGGTGTCTGGCTCAGGAGAAGAAACAGTCACAGTTGGAACAATGGAACTGGCTTCTGCTGCAGGATGGGTGCCCCACGAGGCTGCTGTCTCTGGTTCAGGTGTGGAATCGGTCAGAGTTGGAAGAGTTGTAGCAGTCTCTGCCCTAGAACTGCTTACCTGTGAGAAGTGCACCCCTGATACAGCAGGGGAAAGGGCCAAAGTGGAAATGATTGAAGTGGTCTGTGCCCCAGGTCGGGAAACCGAGGAGACTGTTGCACCTGCCTCAGGAGGGGACTCGGTCAGAGTTGGAACAGCTGACCTGGCTTCCGTTTCCAAGTGCGTGGCCCAGGAGGCTCTGGTCTCCGGATGATCTTGGTCGGTGGTCAAAGTTGAAGCAGTGGTGGTGGTCTCTGCCCCAGAACTAGTGACCCGTGAGGTCACCACCCCTGGTACCACAGTCTTGACGGTCCTCCCTGGAAGAGTTGAAACAGCTTCCACAGCAGCACCAGTGGCCATCGAGGGTGCGCTGTCTGATGCACTGCTGGACACACTGGAAGTGCCTTTGGGAAAAGATGGGCTGGTGTCTGAGGACTGGGTGACCAAAGAGACGCTTGCACCTGGATCCTCGGGGGATGCAGTCAGGGTTGGAACAGCTGAACTGGCTTCTGTGGTGTCTAGTTCATGTGGGAAATCGGTCAGCGTTGGAAAAGGTGGAGTGGTCTCTGCCCCAGAACTGGTGGCGACTGAGCTCGGTGCTCCTGAAACATCAGGGGAGTCCGTCTGAGTTGGTTCGGCTGACAGAGTCCCGGCTGCAGGGTGAGTCACCCCTGAGGCTGTGGTGGCCAGTTCATGAGGAGAAAGAGTCAGAGGTGGAGTAACCCCACTGGCAACTGTCTCAGAACTAGGAACCTGTGAGGTCAGCAGCCCTGGTGCCCCAGACGACACAGGTGTATTGGGACCCGCTGGACTGGCGCCTGTGCCAAGACTGGGGACTGTTGGGGTAGTGCTGTCCGAGACACTGTGGGAAGCACTGCTGCCCAACCTGGGGACAGTTGAGCTGGGCTCTGCAGGACGGGTGACTGAGGAGATCTTTGGATCTGATTCCTCAGTGTTAAGAGTCCCAGTTGAAAAAGTCGTACCTCCTTCCTTCCCAGAACTAGTGACCGGGGGAGGTGGCCATGGTGAGCACATGAAACGGGACAGTCACCGTTGGAAGGGCTGAACTGGCTTCTGCCTCGGGACTGCTGCTGCCTGTTGAAGATATGCTGTCTGATTCACTGTGGGAAACTTCAAACGGTGTTTGGGAAGCAACGAGGTCAGTCTCTGAGGGACGGGTGACCAGGGACACTGTTGTGCCTGGCTCAGAAGGGGACAGAGTCAGAGTTGGATCAGCTGACCTTGCTTCCGTGTCAAACTGGGTGGCCCATGAGGCCGTGGTCTTCAGGTGAAGTTGGGAAGCAGTCAAAGTTGCAGCAGTTGTGCCAGTCTCTACCCCAGAACTGGTGGCCCGGGAGGTCACCACCCCTGGTGCAACAGTTTTGACAGTCTTACCGGGAAGAGCTGAACTGGCTTCTGCCCCAGGACTACTGGCCATCGAGGGTGCACTGTCTGACTCACTGTGGGACACACTGGAAGTGCTTTTGGACAAAAATGTGCTGGACTCTGCATGACGGGTGACCAAAGAGACTGTCGTATCTGACTCATGCAGGGACTCGGTGCCAGTTGAGAAAGTCCTGTGGCCTTGTGTCCCAGAACTGGTGACCGGGGAGGAGCCCGTGGTGAGTACATCAAGTGGGAGAGTCACTGCTGGAAGGGCTGAACTGGCTTCTGTTCCAGAACTGGTGGCCGTTGAAGATATGCTGTCTAACTCACCAGGGGGGAAAAGTTGGCTTCTTTCTGGAAACCGAGGAGCTGGTCTTTGCCGAGTGGACCCGTGAGGCTGTGGTGTCTGGCTCAGGAGAAGAAACAGTCACAGTTGGAACAATGGAACTGGCTTCTGCTGCAGGATGGGTGCCCCACGAGGCTGCTGTCTCTGGTTCAGGTGTGGAATCGGTCAGAGTTGGAAGAGTTGTAGCAGTCTCTGCCCTAGAACTGCTTACCTGTGAGAAGTGCACCCCTGATACAGCAGGGGAAAGGGCCAAAGTGGAAATGATTGAAGTGGTCTGTGCCCCAGGTCGGGAAACCGAGGAGACTGTTGCACCTGCCTCAGGAGGGGACTCGGTCAGAGTTGGAACAGCTGACCTGGCTTCCGTTTCCAAGTGCGTGGCCCAGGAGGCTGTGTTCTCCGGATGACCTTGGTCGGTGGTCAAAGTTGAAGCAGTGGTGGTGGTCTCTGCCCCAGAACTAGTGACCCGTGAGGTCACCACCCCTGGTACCACAGTCTTGAAGGTCCTCCCTGGAAGAGTTGAAACAGCTTCCACAGCAGCACCAGTGGCCATCGAGGGTGCACTGTCTGATGCACTGCTGGACACACTGGAAGTGCCTTTGGGAAAAGATGGGCTGGTGTCTGAGGACTGGGTGACCAAAGAGACGCTTGCACCTGGATCCTCGGGGGATGCAGTCAGGGTTGGAACAGCTGAACTGGCTTCTGTGGTGTCTAGTTCATGTGGGAAATCGGTCAGCGTTGGAAAAGGTGGAGTGGTCTCTGCCCCAGAACTGGTGGCGACTGAGCTCGGTGCTCCTGAAACATCAGGGGAGTCCGTCTGAGTTGGTTGGGCTGACAGAGTCCGGGCTGCAGGGTGAGTCACCCCTGAGGCTGTGGTGGCCAGTTCATGAGGAGAAAGAGTCAGAGGTGGAGTAACCCCACTGGCAACTGTCTCAGAACTAGGAACCTGTGAGGTCAGCAGCCCTGGTGCCCCAGACGACACAGGTGTATTGGGACCAGCTGGACTGGCGCCTGTGCCAAGACTGGGGACTGTTGGGGTAGTGCTGTCCGAGACACTGTGGGAAGCACTGCTGCCCAACCTGGGGACAGTTGAGCTGGGCTCTGCAGGACGGGTGACTGAGGAGATCTTTGGATCTGATTCCTCAGGGTTAAGAGTCTGAGTTGAAAAAGTCGTACCGCGTTCCTTCCCAGAACTAGTGACCGGGGAGGTGGCCATGGTGAGCACATGAAACGGGACAGTCACCGTTGGAAGGGCTGAACTGGCTTCTGCCTCGGGACTGCTGCTGCCTGTTGAAGATATGCTGTCTGATTCACTGTGGGAAACTTCAAACGGTGTTTGGGAAGCAACGAGGTCAGTCTCTGAGGGACGGGTGACCAGGGACACTGTTGTGCCTGGCTCAGGAGGGGACAGAGTCAGAGTTGGATCAGCTGACCTTGCTTCCGTGTCAGACTGGGTGGCCCATGAGGCCGTGGTCTTCAGGTGAAGTTGGGAAGCAGTCAAAGTTGCAGCAGTTGTGCCAGTCTCTACCCCAGAACTGGTGGCCCGGGAGGTCACCACCCCTGGTGCAACAGTTTTGACAGTCTTACCGGGAAGAGCTGAACTGGCTTCTGCCCCAGGACTACTGGCCATCGAGGGTGCACTGTCTGACTCACTGTGGGACACACTGGAAGTGCTTTTGGACAAAAATGTGCTGGACTCTGCATGACGGGCGACCAAAGAGACTGTCGTATCTGACTCATGCAGGGACTCGGTGCCAGTTGAGAAAGTCCTGTGGCCTTGTGTCCCAGAACTGGTGACCGGGGAGGAGCCCGTGGTGAGTACATCAAGTGGGAGAGTCACTGCTGGAAGGGCTGAACTGGCTTCTGTTCCAGAACTGGTGGCCGTTGAAGATATGCTGTCTAACTCACCAGGGGGAAAAGTTGGCTTCTTTCTGGAAACCGAGGAGCTGGTCTTTGCCGAGTGGACCCGTGAGGCTGTGGTGTCTGGCTCATGAGAAGAAACAGTCACAGTTGGAACAATGGAACTGGCTTCTGCTTCAGGATGGGTGCCCCACGAGGCTGCTGTCTCTGGTTCAGGTGTGGAATCGGTCAGAGTTGGAAGAGTTGTAGCAGTCTCTGCCCTAGAACTGCTTACCTGTGAGAAGTGCACCCCTGATACAGCAGGGGAAAGGGCCAAAGTGGAAATGATTGAAGTGGTCTGTGCCCCAGGTCGGGAAACCGAGGAGACTGTTGCACCTGCCTCAGGAGGGGACTCGGTCAGAGTTGGAACAGCTGACCTGGCTTCCGTTTCCAAGTGTGTGGCCCAGGAGGCTGTGTTCTCCGGATGACCTTGGTCGGTGGTCAAAGTTGAAGCAGTGGTGGTGGTCTCTGCCCCAGAACTAGTGACCCGTGAGGTCACCACCCCTGGTACCACAGTCTTGACGGTCCTCCCTGGAAGAGTTGAAACAGCTTCCACAGCAGCACCAGTGGCCATCGAGGGTGCGCTGTCTGATGCACTGCTGGACACACTGGAAGTGCCTTTGGGAAAAGATGGGCTGGTGTCTGAGGACTGGGTGACCAAAGAGACGCTTGCACCTGGATCCTCGGGGGATGCAGTCAGGGTTGGAACAGCTGAACTGGCTTCTGTGGTGTCTAGTTCATGTGGGAAATCGGTCAGCGTTGGAAAAGGTGGAGTGGTCTCTGCCCCAGAACTGGTGGCGACTGAGCTCGGTGCTCCTGAAACATCAGGGGAGTCCGTCTGAGTTGGTTGGGCTGACAGAGTCCGGGCTGCAGGGTGAGTCACCCCTGAGGCTGTGTTGGCCGGTTCATGAGGAGAAAGAGTCAGAGGTGGAGTAACCGCACTGGCAACTGTCTCAGAACTAGGAACCTGTGAGGTCAGCAGCCCTGGTGCCCCAGACGACACAGGTGTATTGGTACCAGCTGGACTGGCGCCTGTGCCAAGACTGGGGACTGTTGGGGCAGTGCTGTCCGAGTCACTGTGGGAAGCACTGCTGCCTGCCCTGGGGACAGTTGAGCTGGACTCTGCAGGACGGGTGACTGAGGAGATCTTTGGATCTGATTCCTCAGTGTTAAGAGTCCCAGTTGAAAAAGTCGTACCGCGTTCCTTCCCAGAACTAGTGACCGGGGAGGTGGCCATGGTGAGTACCTCAACTGGGACAGTCACCGTTGGAAGGGCTGAACTGGGTTCTGCCTCGGGACTGCTGCTGCCTGTTGAAGATATGCTGTCTGATTCACTGTGGGAAACTTCAAATGGTGTTTGGGAAGCAACGAGGTCAGTCTCTGAGGGACGGGTGACCTTGGATAGGTGTTTGTCACCCGGTTTGGTTGCTGTTTGCAATTGAGTTGCCCAGGGTAGTGTATTCTCCCCCTGAAGTTGGGCCTTAGTCATAGTTAAAGTAGTTGGGCTTTTGCATTCTTGAGTAATAGTGTCCATTTCCGTCACTTCTTTCTTTGTCTGTGCTGTGCCAGTTTTACCTGGAGCGGGTGAAGTTCTCTCAGGTGTGACCCATGAGTCTGTTGTGTCTTGTCCATTTGTGGAGCCAGTGAGAACTGTAGTGAAGGTGGTTGATTTAGTCTCAGGAGTTGTTATCAGTGCGTTCACCGCTGTCAGTGCAGCAGGGGAGGCAGTCCAAGTAGAACCCGCGAAACCTACTTCCTCTGCAGAACTGGTAACCATTGCAGGTGAGCTGTCTGATTTGCTGTGGGAATCAGTCAGGGTTGCCCTGGATGCAGGCGAGCTGGCCTGAACAGGATGGGTGTCCCATGAAGTTGTGGCCTCTGGCTCACCATAGGAAACACCCAGAGTTGGAACCAGTGTGCTTGTCTCTGCCACAGAAGGAACCCCCAGTGTCGCTGATCTGCCACGGTACATGGATGGGGTTGTCCTGTATACCACTGTTCTGCTGGTCTGTGCTTCCGAGCTGGTGACCGAGGAGGCGGTCCTCTCTAGATCATTGGGGGAGACAAATGCAGTTGCAATGACCAGTCCTGTTGTGCTGGTGTTGGCTGTCTTACCCGATGTCCTGTGGACAGTCAGCATTTCCAAAGTAGGAGCAGACACTCTGGTGGCTGAAGTTGCTCTGGTGGTGGTGTGTGTTCTCTCTGTCCCTCCTGTGGGTAGTCCTGTGAATTGTGGGATGGACACACAATTTGGACAGAATGATTACCACTCAGCACAGGCAACAGGTTTTTTTTCATCCACATGAGGAAAGGGAGAGAAACATCTCCACCCAAAATGTACCTGGAATGGTTCTGGAGCAGGGAGAGGAATTATGCTCAGTATTCCCCTACCTTCCCTGTATGGTCTTGGGCTCTAACTCCGAAGCTGACCACTCCCTGCTCTCAAACGTTTTCTGTACTCTCCATCCTCCGAGCCTTTCTTCAAGCAGTTTTCTCTGCTTGACACGACCATCTGTCATCAGCTTCCTTACTTTCTGTTTTACTTCAAACTCCAGGTCAAATCAACCTTTACAAATTCATATCAAAATTCATTTCTCCCTTCTCGTTGTCTGCTTATCCTACTGCGTGAACCTGCACTGCTCCACGCCTTATAGTCTCCTTGGTAACAGTTGTTAATGCTTGCCTGCTTGGCATATAGTAAGTGCTCAAGAAATATTTGTTAATTAGTAAATTAATTAATGATGAACATGTGGATGGATGGAGATGGAGATACACACACACATATGTAGAGAGAGAGAGGAAGGTCTCTTACTTGAGAGAGATCATGTATCATTGTGCTTCAGAGCTTGGATTACAGAATAAGATAGTCCCACAGCAAGATTCTGGCTCCTCCACTAAATAGATGCATTACCAAATCTTGCTAGATCTTCAGCCTCTCATCTACAAAGTAAGGCTAAGTATAGTGGCCATCTCAGAGTGTTAACAAAAGAGCACCAAGAACAGGGCCTTCTGACTCACAATAAGACATTATTACTACTACCACTGCCATTACCTACTATTACTACCCTTACCAACACCACTGCCACTACGAATCATTACTGCTATTACTACTACTGTTGTTAATATTGTTACTACTGCCACTGCTGCTCCCTACCATTCCCACTGTCATTGCCATTATTGCCACCTATTACTATTGTTATTACTACTATTGGTATGACTACTAAAGTGAGTGCTACTGTTACTATTACAACTACTATTGCTACTCTTACTAGTACTTCTACTTCTTGTACTTCTACTACAAAGTAAATGTTTACTGGATTAAATTTGCCGGGGACGACAGCAGCTGTCCAAGGTGACTAGAAGTCAGCCTCTGAGGAAGAGTAAGGTGTCATCGGCTGAGTCAACATGACTGACCAGGGCTTCAGAAAGTGGTTCCCAGGAAGGAGGAGGAACCTGGAGGCTTCTCAGTAACGACCACAAAGCCTGTGGGAGCCTGGTGCAGGGAGAAAGACAAAACGAAGGGGATTTTGACCCTGCTGGTGAAGCTACATTGCTGTGTTGCTGAGAATACCCTGAAAAATGTGTTTCTGAGAGTAGACATTGTGTGTTTGATGGTGGTAGTGGAGATGAGGACGATGAGCAATTGTAAAGCACCGGGCATCCTTCCTCTCTTTGATCGTAACCAGAATGTTGGGTGGATGCCCTATTATTGTTTTACAGAAGAGAAAAGCAGGTCCTCTGAGATCATAATTAGCCAAGATCACACAACTACTGACTGATAGTGTAGAAATCTGAACTGGTAGTTTTGTCTGCAACCTGAACCTATGTTCTAACCATTGTTCAGATTAATTTCGTAAGTAAATTTCAGGATCCTGTGGGGTCCAAAATGGGAAGACAGGATATGAGGAAAAAATGTCGGTGGGAGGAGGGGACTCTCACCCAGAATTCCCTGACCCGGTAGATCTCAGCCTGGGGTGATGGGTCGTCAGAGCTGTGTACGTGGTGGGTGCTACAGGCATGAGTGGGTGAGGCCAGGGACACTGTGAAACAGCCCACAGAGCGTGATAACCTCCCACAACAAATAATTATCTAGGTTCTTACTCGTCAACTGCGTTGGGTGTGGAGACACTTGAGAAGCATTTGTCACTGTTCCCAAGTCCATGTTCTGGGTTATTCTGGTATCCATGATGGGCGATAAAGATGTCCTGACTGATGGGGTCCAAGTTTCCTGACTACTGACCATAACCATGGGTCCAGCAGCAGTGCTTATCTTTGCCTCATGGGTGGCATCTACGGCACGTGGAGGGGTTGGTGAGGAAGTAATCCCATGGGGGGCTGGGCCAGTAGAAGAGCCAGTGGTAGTGAAGGTTGAAAAGGGGAATGATGTTGAAGCTGATGAAGGCAGGGTCCTTGCAATGGTGGACATAGAAGTATCCCCAAGGACTGGTTCTGTTCCACAAAATGGACCAGATGAGCAGGCAGTGGAGCTGACACCTGGAACTGCTGATGTTGCAAAGGAAGTTGTGGATTCTGACAAAGAGGGTGTCAATGTGTCACCTGGCAAGGTCTCAGCTGAGGACAGAATGTCTGTGGCACCAGGTCGGGGACTCTTCACAAGATGAGTAAACTGAGGAGGTGAAGACATAGGAGTGGATGGAGCTGAGATGAAGTCCATGGCCTTGTTTGTCACCTTCAGTCCAGAAGTTGGATGCAAAAGTGGCACTGTTTCAAATGATGTTGATGTAAGGGGCACAGACATTGCTGATGTGGCAAGAGTGGTCTCCTCCAAAGATGGGGCAGTATCTATGGGATATGTGATGCTGGCTGACTCAGAGTAGACTGGGACAGAGGAATGGAGTTCATATCCAGAACTGCTGGTCCCCACACTTGTAATGCCTGTGTTTTGGGAAAGGCGAGTTGCCCCGGCATCCGTGGAGGAGGTTTCAGAAACAACCAGTATCTCATTTGACGGGCTGTGCAAATTGGAAGAAAAACTGGCTCCAGATTCAGAGCTTCGAGATACCATGTCTGTGGTCCTCACCAGGACAGGACTGGAAAAAGAGGTCTCTGGGCTGAGAGAGGTTGGGCTAAACCCTGGTAATACGGAGGAAAGAGGTGAAGGTGAGTTCATGGCAGGTAGTGATGTAAGGAATGAAGGGGAACTGATTTTGTCCATAAAGGAGGTGCTCATTCCTGACAAATCACCTGAAACCCCGCTCGTAATAGCAGTCAAACCTGAGTGCGATACACTTGGAGTCACAACCAAGTCAGTCCCTGCCCAAGAGGTCATTTCTGATGAACTCAAGGAAGGTGTGTCTGGTGACGCAGGCCCAGAGTGACGTGTTAGCCTGGTAAGGGACACTCCTGAAGGTCCTGTCCTGATGGAGGAGGTAGAGAGCCTGGGAATTCCTGTGGCCATGTCTGGTGTCTTGGTGGAGTGAGCAGGGCCAGCAAAGGGTGTCTTGCCAGAGGTGATGTCTTCTGTCCCAGAGATGTTGGTACCACCCTCAGTGGGCATGCTGGAAAAGACGGCAATTGTCTCCGTGGCTGAGCTCACCAGCTGGGAGGTGCTGGTCCCCCTCAGGTTGGGGGCCACAGAGGATGCTGGCTCTGTCTCAAGCCATGGCGTTTCAGAAGAGCCAGGAGTTGGTGTGGAAACAGTGGTTTCCATGGAAGAGCTAACCATTGGAGAAGTGACTTTGGATGGCCCTGAGTTGGCTGGCACAGAGGAACGTGTTTCATGTCCAGAACTGGCAGACCCCACATTGATTACAGCTGAGTTTGGGGAAAGGTGAACTGCCTCTGACTCAGTGGGAGTTTGGGGAGGGGCCAGTGTCTCGATGATGGCGTTGCTCAAATTTTCAGGGGAACGGGCTCCAGCACCCAAGCTTGTGCCCACCATGTCTGTGGTCTTCACCTGGCCAGAGGCCCAAAGAGTGGTGAGTGGAGGAGAGGAGGACCCAGTTTCTGCTGCTGCAGGAGACGCGGGCAAAGGTGAGGTCGGGGCAGGAATAGAATCGAGGGCGGAAGAGCTGCTTGGTTGCACAAAGGCAGGCCCTGTCCTTGACACGTCCTCAGGACCTCTGCTGGTGAGATTTGTCACCTCCGAGTGTGCAGAACTTCGAGTTTTAGCCAAGAGAGTCCGTGCCCCCGAGATCCTTGTGGATGTGTCTGGTGGCGCTGTGTCCTGTGCCACAGCTCCGGGGCGAGCTGTTTGTGTCGTGAGTGGCATTTCTGCAGGTTGTGTCGTAACGGGGGAGGGAGAATTTCTGGGACTTCTTGTGGTGCTTTCTGGTGTGTTTGTTGAATGAGCTCGGTCAGAAGGGAATGTCCCTACAGGGGACAGGTGGGCTAAGGTGGGTACGTTTTCACCAGATCCTGAGGTGAATTCTGGTGATCTTGTGGTTTCCATATCCGCTGAATGTCTTGTAGATGCTGAAGACTCCGGTGCAGTAAAGAAGTCCCTAGTGGACACATCAGGCCTAAATGTGGGCGGTGCACTATTTACACTGGTCTGTGTGCTTGGTTTACCAGAAAAAGTAATGGAAATAGGGAGTCCCATTATTTCAGGCCTTTTGGGGGTCAAGTGCATACCTGAAATCTCAGGTACCAAGATGCTCACTCTGTGGTCATCAGAAAATGTTGCAGTGGGAGCAGACATCGCGTCCTCTGGACTTAACGTTTTCAGTCCTGTGCCGCCCTCAGTGATTTCATCCGGACACGAGGAAAGTAGGGGGCTCAGCCTGGTTCCAGTTGGAGCTGACGAGGAATAGGCAGAGCCTGCTGCAGTGGTCGATGCTAAGGAAGGAAGTGTCCTCCCTGTGGAACTCACCTCGGGCACACTAGTGACAGGTACGTGAGCAGCTGTGTCTGTGACAGTCCCTGAGGAGGTCCCCACTGCTGGGGTGCTGTCTGTGGTCCTGACCCTCCTCTCTGGGCTAGGCATTCTAGTGGAACCTGACCTTGCTCCCCTGTGGCTGGAGGTGGTGACCTCCAGAGCAAGACCCCCACTCTTGCCTGTTAGTCCTACAGGAAATGATTTCACGGAAAGGGCCCTGGGTGGAGATGCAGTGTCACTGGTCTCCAATCCTGAAGTGGGCTCAGACTTGGGTCCCTGCACAGGGGAGGCAGCAGCTGGAAAGGAGCCGGCTGTCTCTCCTGCCACACCCATGAGGCTGGCAGTGGCCGCGCTGTCTGGTCCATCAGATGTCCAAGGTCCTGCAGGAGTAATGTGGGCTGTGGGGATGGTGACAGCTGTGTCTGTGTCCACAGAGGTGGCACTCAGTGCCAGGTCCCTCCCAGATGTCGGCTCTGACCGTGGGACAGCAGATGAATAAGCCTTGCCCACAGGGCCCTGTGCCTGCTGTCCGGTGGTCACTGCCTTCTTATGGGGGGCAGTGGGAGGACCGAGTGCAGTGCTGACCCATGTCACGGTTCCAAGTTCAGATTTATCAGTCACCGAGCTTGTGGTTTCCTGGGGGACTGGAACGAAGCTTGTTGCAGAGTCTCGAAGGCCGGGGGAAGATGTGCCCAATGGAACGTCTGTGCCCACTGTGGCCCCCCCAGTGGAGCCAAGCCACGTGGACAAGCCCCTTTCGGTCGGAGTCAGAACTGGGCTGACTCGCTGGACATTCCCTGTGGGGCCTGAAGAGGGAGACTCTGAGAGCAGGGCGGACACTCTCCTTCCGGACGGGCTGGCCCCTTCTGGTGTCCCCGAGTACGTGCTGACCTGAGTCTCAGCTGGATTCGGGGAGCGAGAAACCCTCTTTGTAGTCACTGCCATTTCCTTAGAGGACTCTGCTGGCACCGCAGTTCCTGTGGGCAGGCGAGGGAGTCTGGTGCCAACACCCCCCGTGGCTGTGGACTGAAGGGCGGCTGGTCCCGCCGAGGCCTCCACAGGAGTGGTCTGTGTGAGTGTTTCCCCGAAAGGAGGCGGCACAGTGGCCCCGATCTCATGGCTGCTGCTGGGCTCCTGTGACCTTGGCTGTGCAGTGTTGTCAGATGGCCCCGGGCTTCTGGTGGGCAGGCCTGTGACTGTTACAAAGTGTGCAAGGAGGTGAAAAGGGGGGTTCTTCTGGGTGTGCTTCCCCTCCCTCCCTCCTTACAACTCAGGTGGACGCACCCTCTGCCCATAATTTGCTGCTTCGGATGGCAGGAACCCTGTCACCCATGACCATGTCTCATGGTGAGTATAGGAGTGTGGTCTACGACCGGGCTGCAGAGCCGATTTTGGCGCCATGCGGACCTCTGCGCCCCAAATCGAGTCTTAGGGGAGGGTAAAGGCTCTGCCCAGGAGTGGGGGGGGGAGCTATCCCTTCCTGTACTTGATGTATTTTAATCTGATGTCTGTCTTTTCCCCCTAAAACTCTCACTCAGAACTCTGAGTCCAACTGAGAGGTAGCTCGGTGGCTTGCTTCCAATAGGTTAGGGGAAGGTGTAGATCCAGACGAGCTTATTTCCTGCATACTCGCATATTCTTCACCTCCCTCCTCCGGGAAGAACAGAACCATTTCACTTATAGACAGAAGGACACGCCACGTCACTGCTTTCCGGAGTCACGACCGACGTGCCCATCACCCTAAGCACCTCAAGGAGACAGAGTTAACTTCCTGGTGCATTGCGTCCTCCAAGATGGTGACTCCTTCCCGTTTGGGACGGTTCCCAAACAGCAATCATTCCCAACCTGTTCTCAGTATGAGTCTCAGGCCCCTTTCAGTACGAACCATCTGCTACTGAAAGTCTCCTGCACTTGAACTGGTCTCTTGTGTTCTTGGAAACACATAGGTGCCCTAACTGAAGAAATGGGGCGGCGAGACCGACATTTTTAGGAGAAAGCCAGCTGGTACCAAGTTCTCAGACTGTTTCTGGCAAAAGGACAATTTACCAGAGAACGCATAAGGAGGCGCCCAGGGAGACAAACGTCAGTGTCAGCCGTCATACCTGCAGAGTAAACTGCTGCCATAGGTGTCGAAGGGCCACTATCCAGCCACAAGGAACTTTCATACACGGGGAGGTTGGCCGTGGACGCCACAGTCCTGGCAGTGCCTGCGGGAGAGATGGGAGGGCTGGATGGATACCGACAGGTTTAGAAGGAGGGCTCGTGGGGAAAACCGTACGTGTGCACTTCGGAAACAAAGACCTTCGAGGGGGGCGCCCGGGAAAGCTCAGGGCCCCGTGTTCACCCTGGCCTGGCTCTCGTCTGGGTGCGAACGGGTGGCCCAGAGAGGGAGTTTCAACGCCTAAATGTGCAGTGGCAGCGTTCCGCCAGGCGCAGCACGCTGCTTCCAGGTGTGCACCCCAAAGACCTGAGAGCGGGGACAGCAGCATTACTCACGGAAGACAAAAGCCAGAGAAAACTCAAATATCTACCTCTGTCTAAATACACAAAATGGAACACCTATCTAAAATGTGGTTTTTCAGCTTTTGAAAAGAATGAAATTCTGACACGTGTCACAGCATGAATGAGCCTTGAAA